CGGAGAGGGTGAAGGGTGCACAGGTAATGGGGAAAAAAATAAGAACCAAGATACATCATGTACAGGTACAAACACCCAATGATAAATGTAAACAAATTGTATACCTAAAATGTACCAATAAAAGAACTGAAAAAGAAAAAAAAAAGAAAAAGGAAAAAAGAAAAAAAAGAGAAAATTCCCAGGTTTTAACATTTATACAGAAACTGGCTGCTCTCACCGTATGTGCTCTTTATAGGTACTGTTTGATACTCAGGCTCCATTAAATGCCATTAACAAACTCCCCACTGTGCCGATGTTGGGCCTGACCCAGAGAACCAACACTGCCTACCAGTGCTTCTCCATTCTGCCACAGTCATCCACCCACATCAGACTGGCCTTCAGGAACATGTACTGCATTGACATATACTGCCGGAGTCGAGGCGTGGTGGCAATACGGGATGGTGCCTATAGTCTTTTTGATAACAGCAAGTTAGTTGAAGGTTTTTATCCTGCACCAGGACTAAAGGTAACAGACTTTAGTGTTACAGCATGATATACTAAATGTAAATGTCCTCCAAAACAGTTCCTCTGAGGGAGAAATCATGGGCAAAAACAACAGTCCTGTAGGATTTAGTAAGTAACAGTGTTAATTCATCATCTCTGGAAATTTATTCTGAAGACTCTAACATGAGTTTCCAACCTTTTGGCTTACCTAGGCTGCATTGAGAGAAGAGGAATTTTCTTGAGCTGCATATAAAATATGTAATATAGTTACTGGATATAAGTAACAAAACTTTTCTAAATTTTTTTTTATTATAATAAGTTTGCATGAAGTGCTGTGCCCATGTGTACCAGCTAATGAGAAGTCCTTTATTTGCTTACCCTTTGATAAATAAGGTACTAAAAAGTGCCATGTTTGCTCTTTGGAACTTCATCATTGACTATTGAAAAGGTTTGATCATCAGTTCAACTATGACACTTTTTAAAAATGTAACATCTTGCCGGGGATTTAGCTCAGTGGTTCCGGCGCCTGCCTTGCAAGCGCAAGGTCCCAAGTTCGATCCCCGGTACCAAAAAAAAAAAAAAAAAAAAAGTAACATTTTGTGCCACAACTGCTGGAGATTCTCATGTGATAGCTCAGTTGTTTATGTTCAGAGTCAAATAGTTCTAAAAGGCTTGTTTTGAAAAATAGTCTCCTACAGCCCATTTTTCTGCTTCTCAGACATAACTATTTTTAATTTATATATAGCTGATTCTTAATATTTATATCCATATCTCTAGATAGCATGCTTGCAGTATTATTTGTTGACTTTCTGTTTAGGGCCTTATCTGATTCTCACTGTGGAAAAGAAGGAATTAATTCTTCTTAAATTGTTTTTTTTTTGCATGTACTTTCCGCCTTCCTGACTACTCTCAGTACATGAACACATTTTTCTTTCCTCCTGTTTGCAATGATTGGATAGCAACTACGAGTAGGTAATTTTTTAGTGTTCACATTATTAGGAATAAATAAACACTGCTTGTTCCAAGGTTACTATGATTACTTTTCCTTTCTTGTTCATCATTTTTATTTACCAGGGAATTATTAAATTTTTTTTGTTTGTTTTAGCTTTTTCTATACTTGTTAAACTCCCTCCCAGTTGTGTAACTCTCCTTTCAGCATATTCACATATATCAGATACCTTACTGGTTTCATCTTGAAATCTCTTCCATGTTCCTTTGATCTGCTCCAGTTTGGTAGCACTCCAGGGTTTTTGTGGAATTGTGACATAGGAATCCACAGCAGGATGAAGAAGAGGCCTTGCTTCTTTCTTCTGTTGCATGCCCTGTGGCTTAGGCCCCATGTTTTATTCTTGGTTTACTTGGTTATTTTGGTATCATAAATCCTATAATAACTTCCTGGGAGAAGGTACCTGGGAGGTTATTTGAGACCTAGTGTATCTGAAGACCTCTTCCCTCATCTAATTGAGATTGACTATTGCAGAGAGATTCTAGGCTGCGGTCATTTTCTGTACAAATATTGAAGGCACTGCTTCATTGTTTTTTAGATTCCATTGTGACTGTCAAGATGCTTGATGGCTATTCTAATTCTTGAACCTTATGTATGTGAGTGGACTCTTTCAGTCTGAAAACTTAATTCTTTTGCACTGGGAAATTTCCTTGCATCATTTCTTGCTATTTTCTGTGTTAGCTATTTCTGGTAACTACTGTTCTGATGTTGGGCATCTTAGACTTGTCCTCTAATTTTCTTATCTCTTCTGAGATTTCTCTCTTTGTTTCTGGGAAACTTCCTCATTTTCTATTTTAATCTTTCTATTTTTCCTGTCTGCCAAAAAATTTTTTTGGCTTTTTTTAAATTTGCAAAAGCTTTTTTTTTCTTGTAAATGTTCACTTTATGACATTATGTTCTTGTATGGCTACATTATCTTACTTCTTTTCTTCCTACATAATCTCCATTTCTTACTTTTTTGAGGGGGTTGATTTCTTTCATTTTAATGTCTTTAAATATTAATTCTTAACTCTGCTCTTATTTAAAGAGAAGACTTACTGACTGTTGCAAGAGGATCTGCTTGGGCCATTTCTTTGGGAAACTTTCAATGTCAGTAGCTTTAGATCATTTTTTTGGTACTGGTATAAGTACCAAGAGAAGGGTATCCAAATTTCCTGAATAAATGACATGCATCTGACTCCCGGTTTGGGGAAAGTCAAATGAAAAGAAAAGTAGTATTCTTGACTATCAGTACGTGGACTTTAATCCCCACTTTTAATATGATATCTTTTCTCTCCATTGATCCATGGAGGCCTTCAAGTCAGAGCTTTCACTCCAGGAAAGTGGAGATCAGCTCTGCATAGCCAGTGTAACAGAAGATTTGGGAGAGTTAAGTGTCTCTTAAAGAGACTTAAAGCTGGATGTGGTGGTGCATGCTTGTAATCCCAGCACTCAGGAGGCTGAGGCAGGAGGATTGCTATGTGTTCAAGACCAGCCTGGGCTACCCAGTGGGTTCAGGCCAGTCTGAACTACATAGTGAAACTTTGTCTTGAAAAAACAAAATAAAGAGACTTTCACCCAGTCCTGTTTTTAATCCTACCTTCATGCCCATCTCCAGAGGTGTCTGGTGCTGCCAGTTCCAAGGTATCTTTGAGATCTGGGTGGAAATAGCTTTGCTTCTTGGCTTTCCCCATGGCTTGCTTAGAGTTTCTCACATTGGATACTTCAGCCATTTGCTTTGCAGACTCCAGAACATATTGCTTTTTTTTCTCTTCTCTCATTCTTTTTGTGTTTGTGACTTATTACTTTAAATTATTTTCAGTAGTTTTAGTAGGGTTTCGAGAGAGGATGGAATGTGTATTGCAAATCCATTATTTTTAATTAAAAGTCAGACTGTATACTTTTAATAGTGCTCTAGTGATTTTGGTAAAATTATTATATACATCTTTGAAGACTGGTAAGTAGAAGGTATTAAAAGAACGAGAATCTTGGGCTGGGGATGTAGCTCAGTGGTGCCACCGCCTGCACAAGGTCCTGAGTTCTATCCCCGGTACCCCCCCCCCAAAATTCATATAATATAAAAAGTTGGTTTAATTCTGAATCAGTTTTCCTGTCATATTCTCTAGGTTAAAAAGTGAGAACTCTCATTAAATGGGAAATTTTATAAGTTATTTATATGACCAATGTACAGTTTTTCATTTTCCCCCCTCATTTCTGGTCAGAAGTTAATAAGAAAATATTTTGACCTGGAGGTAAGAGGTACCAGGGTGTACTTCTTTGTTCAATTTTTTATACAATACTTTTTTTTATATAATACTTAATTGTTATAACTTATTACTTCGATGTTTTTTTTTTTTTTTTTTGGTACTGGGGATCAAACTTGGGTCCTTAGCTTGCGAGGCAGGCGGTGGAACCACTGAGCTAAATCCCCGGCCCACTTCGATGTTATTTTTATTGTTGTTGTTAACCATTTTTCCTTCTCCCTTCCATTAAAATGAGTGATATTTCTTCTACCTAGATTGTCCTAATAATAGTTTTCAGGGATGGACATTACATGTTTGCTTCTGTTAAAAAACCATAAATGATTAAAAATATTTTGCTAAAGTATTGTAAATTTTACTCATTTACATCCACAGACGTTCCTGAATATGTTTGTTGACAGCAATCAGGATGCTCGGAGAAGGTCTGTAAATGAGGATGATAATCCCCCTTCTCCTATAGGAGGAGATATGATGGACTCTTTAATATCACAGCTCCAGCCGCCACCCCAGCAGCAGGTAATGTCTCAGCAAAACCCCAAACAGTGTCACATTTGTGTAACTCTGTAGTTTCTCCAGGCATCAGGGCTTCTTTGTTGAAAGATAAAGAAGTCCTTGGTAGCCCAAGAAGCCCAGGAAATCCTTATTTAAAAGAAAAAAAACGACAGAGGATGATGAGGAGGCTTTCTGTAATGGGAAGTGAATAGTGTCAGAGAAAGCATTGATCCCAGACACTGAGATCACACATGCACTTCAGATGATGTGATGTGACTCCAAGGATGGGGACATCCTCTGTGGGACCTCCGGAGACCTTTGGAAGAGAGTCCTCACCATGTCCTGAAGGACAACTGTTACTAAATTATGAACACAGAGATTGATATGTATAGTGATATTCAGTAGGGACTCCTGCAGAGAACAACAGAGAACAAGTATACAAATGTCAAGGGTTCTGTCCTCATACCATTTATTTTTTGGTTTTTTGAGACAAGGTCTCACTCTAGTTCAGGCTGGCTTTGAACTCACTATGTAGCCCAGGCTAGCCTCGAACCTGTGGCAGTCCTCCTGCCTCAGCCTCCGAGTGCTGGGATTACAGGCATGCGCCACCATGCCTGGCTTGTCCTCATACCATTTGGATAAGCCACATTATTGAATCCTAAAAGCTTTCAAGTCATCTTTACACTGCCACATGTCTGTGCCTGAGCAGGCCCCCAGGCCAGCCTTTGTTCTCATGCTGGCCCACCTGAAAGAGAAGATGACCAGGGATTTTTTTTACCCCTTCCATAGTCATATAGGACTTCCTAGCCTGGAATGACTCATTGTGGGTGTGCAGAAGCTTTCTGCCTTTGCTAGAAGACTTCAGAGGCCCAGTGTTTGTTGTATGTGAACACATGACCTGAAGGCAAGAAGAGCTCACTGTTTCTCACCAGAAACGTATTTGAAATGGAATTTCTTGGAACAGCATTGTGAGGGAAGACACTTAGCTATTTTATTACCTACTGTTTGGCTGGCTACTTAGTAACTGCAACTTTATAATGCTTACGTATATACCAGGGCAAAGTGTACTGTACCTGGCAGCTATTCAGATTTCTTGCCTCTTCTCTTTATTTCCCTTCTTTTTGGCTTTGTTTTTTGAGACAAGGTCTCACCATGTGCTCCAGGCTGGCCATGAGCTCACTATGTAGTCTAGGCTGGCCTTGAACTCACAGTTCTCCTACCTCAGCCTTCAGAGCGCTTGGATTATAGGCATGAGCCACTGTACCTGGCTTCAGGGCTTTCTTTCTTAACCTTCATAAAGATGCAGGAAAGCTCGTATAAAGCCCCATGTCAGTGCCTCTGTGTAGCTAAGGCATGGGGCTCTTGTGACAGACGTTGACTCAGATGAGATGGTAGCTCTCTGACAGTGCTGGGCCACCGTGGAGAAATGCTTTAGCAGCTTTTTTTCTTGTAGAAGCCACTTACTTGCATTGTAGGTTTCTGCTGTACCTGATATGGAATGCAGGGATAAGCCACATCTTGAGGAAAGAAGTGACTTACGCGAGCTGGCTGGTGACCATAGCCATAGCAGGGCCAGTGTTGTATGGGGAATGTGTGGAGAATGGGATCCCATTGTTCTCTCCTGGCCCCAAATAAGTCATACATTAGCCTCTTTGCAGATTGTTTTTGTCTTTGAAAAATCATAATCTGACACAGAAAGACCCTATAGTGCTAATTTAGTCCATATTCTGATTTTGCTAAGGTCCTCTATAGCAGTAGCATTTCATACTGAGCATGAGATTTTTAGAAAATAATTCCAGGCTAGAACAAAGGATTAGAAGTGGATAGATTTGGGGAAAGTTAGAATAAATAGCTGGTACAATGGTGTGCACCTGTAATCCCAGCACCAAGACTGAGGTGGGAAGGTCACTTGAGCTCAGGAGGTCAAGACCAGCCTGGGCAGTATAGTGAGAGATCCCAGCTCAACAAAAGTTAGAATAATTTTTCATTTTGTGAAGATTCTAGAATTTTTCTGCTTTTTCTTGTTATATATTTAACCTACAACTAGAGCTTTTTTTTGTTAATTTTAAAATTGATGTTTGACATTTAATATGAGTCAGTTCTTTTCAAAAAATATTCATCTATGGCCAAATATCTTTGGTTAGTGGCTTTGGCTTTGGGTATTCTTAAGGATCCAGCAATTTATTGAACAATTTCAGTTTTCAGTTCTTTTCTGTTTAACAGATACAGTAGTTATACTTTGATTTGTAAACTGTTAAATTCCTTCATAGTTGTGAGGGAGACATTCATAAAGAGTTTCATGTACCTTTTATTTGATGTTAGCAGGTATCTTTTCTTCTTTTGTATAAAATGTAGTTATATTCCATAAGCTAGTCCATGAGAAGAAAATAAGAAGAAACAGAAAAAACCAAACCAAAGCGGACAACCTAGGTATTAAAATGAGTGAAAGATTCAAGGCATTTCCCAAAAGAGGATGTCCCAGTGACCAGGAAGCACAGAAAAGACGTTTAAACCTCATCTGACACCACAGAAATATAAGTGAAAGCTTCAGTAAAATAGTACTCTGTACCACAAAAATGGACTTTAACAAAAACAATTGAATGTTTCACATATACTGATGTATCACATACACCAATACAAAATAAAAACAATAGATAATTCTTGCCAACATTAGTATTAGGAACAACTGAAACTCTCACTGCCAGAAATTTTGTAAAATAATTACCTTGTAGTAGTGTTTAGCAGTAGTCTAGGATGCTAAAACTCAACACTATGCATACTTGTGATTTAACAATTACTCTTAGGTATATATGCAATAGGAGTGCATCAGAAAACAAGACTTTTTATAGCAATCTTATTCCAAAAATTGTGACAACTCAAGTATCCAACAACTATAGAATGAATGAATACATTGAAGCACCTTCATACAAAGGAATATGTGAGAGAAACAAAAAAACAAACTACTGTCACCAGCGATAATGCTGGGTGAATTTCACTGAGATGATGTTCCACAAGAGAAGCCAGACACTATCAAGAGTACATTCAGTATTTATAGGAAATGCAAAAACAGGACCAAGGCTGGGTGATGGAAGTCTTTGGGGGAGGCAAGAAAGACTTGGAAGGTGTATAAGGGAGACTCATAGTATGCTGGTCATGGTCTTCAGTGTCTTGTGCTCTGTGGTAGCTACATTTTTAAAAATTCACCAAACTGCACATTTAATATTTGCTTTTTACTGCATGTGATCTATACCTCAGTTTTTTTGAAAACTGACTGAAGTGATTAGATTTGTTCTTGATTTTTTATCGCTAAAGGTAAAAATAAAGGTGAACAGAGGTCAGGTTGAATTACCATATCTTCCTGACTATAAACTCCGCAAATATAAGATGCACTATTTTTATGTACCGCTAGAAAAAAAACCCCTGCAAATTAAACTGACATAACAGAAGTTGAAAGATACACCGTAATTTCAGAGATGTTAACATGCAGGGGGAAATGTCTTGGAATCCATAAAATGGTAGATAAGCGATGCAGATAAATCGGTGGTGTAGTAGATAAAATGAACAGGATATACCTTGAGGGGTAGAAACTGATGTTGCAAGGTCAGGAATGAGGCTGCTGCTATTTTAAAAATACTTTGAAAATCAGTTTTTAAAGACAGTATATATTTTCCACTATTGATGTACATTTTGTACACTTTCATATCTTGTATTCCCTATTTGGTGACCAGTGAAGTGTGTAAATGTTAATACTATAGCTATAATCAGGGAAAGTCACAGTCTTATAATATCTGCAGTTGGTCATTTCACCAACATTTAATTTTCTTTTTTTCAGCCATTTCCAAAGCAGCCGGGAACATCAGGAGCTTATCCCCTTACTTCACCCCCTACATCTTATCACAGCACAGTTAATCAGTCTCCCTCTATGATGCACACACAGTCTCCAGGTAAGATATTCTTTATTCTCTTGTCATATTCAGCTTTTACACCCAAAATGCACACATGTGTGAGTGCATGAGTATGTGTGCGTGTGCTTGCATGTGTGTGCGTGCACACACGCTGAGAAACACTGCTTATAGCCTCAGGCTTCAGAGAGAATTCCCTTTCTAGACTGGCTAATCGCCATGTTTTCATTGTGACTGGATTGTGAAATCTGTGTTCATAGTTTAGGAGTACTTTAAAAGACTTGAATTAAGGTGAGGTGTTGTCACCCAGAGCCAGACTTGTAGTACTAATCACAGCATAATTGCAGCATGATCTGTATCAGAGGTTGATGAACTTAGGCTTGTAGGCCAAATCCTGTGCACCACCTGTTTCTGTAAATATATAAAATTTTAACCACACTTGTTGATGAAGTGTCTGTGGCTGTTTTCCTTCTATAACCATCCCATTTACCAGGCTTTGGTATGCGAAGCCCCCAGAGCCAGGCAGTGCACATCCTATTTGTCCAAACAAATTGGCTTCGTCCACAGCCCCATGAAGTGCAGTGTAAAAGTGCTTGAAAATACCAACCTTTCCTTTTGACTGAATGATTGGGTGGTATCTCTTGAGCACTTGGTCTGTAATAAATACTACTGGTGCTAGGGGTTCTTCAGGGAGCCAGATGCTGGCTCTGCTCTCCAGTGCTTATGACCTAGCAACATATCCAGGAAGACAAGTAGCAGCTCCATTTGTTTGGGTGGGGGGGTGGGACATGACCTCTTGTCTGCTAGCTCCTGCACTTAATCTGTTCTGTATCAGTAATGCTGCTGAGTATAATGATTTTTAAAGTTTCAGCATGAAGGATGCGATATGTAATATGGGGTGTAAAATATAAGAAATAATTTTTAAAAGTATATGTGCAGTAAAACCCTCTTAATATAAATATATCAGTCCAGTCAACTAAAGAATGCATTACCATTTGAAGATACTCTAGCTTTATTTATGAGACGACAGGGCAAACATAAAACTACATAAAACTTTGATTCTTTTAAAAGTGAAAAACCCTGGGCCTGGGATTTAGCTCAGTGGTTCTGCCACCTGCCTTGCAAGCGCAAGGACCCAAGTTCGATCCCCGGTACCAAAAAAAAAAAGTGAAAAACCCAATAAATGCATTTCTAATTTTCTAAGTTTTCATTTAGTAAAGCAGAATTTGCCATGGATACTCTTGTCCTTTATAAAATACAAAATAATCCTTTTATTTGTATATGTATAAGTGTGTATATATGTGAGAAATTTCTATTGACCAGCAGAACCAGTAAATCTGCAGATGGGAGATGTAGGGATATCACTTGCTATCCACCTAATTTCAGTTGTAAAATGGGAATAATATAAAACATTTTTCTTAGAGATGTTGTGAGAATTGAATGAAATAATTCACATAAAGTATTTAGTCTGGGGCCTGGCACATGACACACTCCTCTTTGACCAACCCCTTGCACTCTCTCTGGTTGCCCAGATTGTGCTGTTTGCCACCCAGCTCGGCCCAGGCACTCAACCCTGGCAGATACCACCCCCAATGTGTGTCACTTAACCACTAGATTGCCCTGTAGATTACTATAGTATGGGGACTTATTTATTTTTTTAAACAGATCTTTATTTTAAACATCTTTATCGAGGAGTGGTGGCACACACCTGTAATCCCCGCACCTTAGAGGCTGAGGCAGGAGGATTGCTGTGAGTTTAAGGCCAGCCTGGGCTGCATAGTGAGACCCTGTCTCAACCCCCCCCCCAAAAAAACCCCAACAAACCCAGCCTGAATTACATAATGAGACATTGTCTCTACAAACAAAAGAATTAAAAAAAAAATCTTTAAACTCTCCCCCTTTTTGGAGGGGGGATGCACGTACTCTTTAGGTTTCTAGCTAAATAGTCTTAATCTGTAATGCCAGATGCGATGAGTGTTAGAGAAGGAGTCACTACGAGTTGGCCATTTCTTCCCAGAGGTGCTTTGTCTGTACTCTTCCCACCTTAATGCCACACCAGATAAGCTGAGACTTGAAAGATGGGTTGGAGTTAGTCAGGTGCAAGGAGGCAGACAAGGGGGTATTTCAGGCAGAGTTCTGGGGTGTGAGGAGCCTGAGGTCCAGAGGCTGGTAGACTATCCCTAATGGCTGGAGTATGGAGAGACAGGGCCCTGTTAGGAATTTTGTCCATTATTGTGTGGGTAAAGGAAGCCATTGCTGTATTTGTAGGGCACTATAGAGGTTCAGTTTGCATAACACAGGGGCCGGAATGGAGGAGGGGTGATTCTACAGTCAAGCCATCTGTGGCTCATCAGAGATGATCAGAGCACAGATGAAGACTTGGAAGTTGTTGTCATATCCAGGGTCACTGAAGCCTGAGTGGGAAGGAAAGCTCAGCCTCTAGGAGCCCCAACCTGTGTGGTAAAGGAACAACTAAGGAGGAAGTAGACAGAGAAACTCAACCCCAGGGGAGTGTGTCTCTAGGATATGAGTTGAGATTGTTTTTTCATAAGAAGGAAAAATAATTTTGAAATAATTGTAGTAGCAGACAGGTTTATCATTCTTTATGTGCCAAGCCCTATTCTAAGTACTTTACTCATTTAATCCTCACAGCAAACTTGTGGCATAGGTCCTATTATCCCCATTTTATGGAGAAGTTAAGTCACTTGTTCAGATCATACAGCTAAAAAAGTACAATAATGTTTAAAGGTTACTGAAGTGGCTCAACATTTATTGAGTGTAACACGTTGGTTTAGGCATTACAGAACATAAAAATAATGAAATTAGGGCTGGGGATTTAGCTCAGTGGTTCTGGCGCCAGCCTCGCAAGCGCACGGTCCCAAGTTCAATCCCTGGTACCAAAAAAAAAAAGAAATTATGGCCAGGTGTGGTGGTGTATACCTGTAATCCCACTCTGGGAGGCTGAGGCAGCAGTATCACCAGAAGTTCAAGGCTAGCCTGGGCTTCATAATGAGTTCAAGGCCAGCCTGAACTATACAGCAAGACCCTGTCTCAATAAACCAAATAAATAAGTATGAAATTATGTAGTAGAGAATTTGAAACCTGTTGATATTGAAAGTATGTAATGGTAATGTAGCAAGAATATTAATGTAGCATTCATTTATAATTTGGGTAGTCATGGTAGCCCCTTTCATAATCCTAAATTAAAACTAGTCTTACAGTTTTAAGTACTATCTTTAAATTCATGTCTTCTGGTTTTTATATCTCTAATCTAGATGTGGCCCCAGAACTTGAGCCCTATATTTGCATACGGTATCTAGTAGCTGCCTGAAATTCAGCATGGCCACAAATACCCCAGTTCAGTGAATGGCAGCCCCTACCTTCCTGTTACTTGGGCCAGAGCTGTTAGAGTCATGCTGAACTCCTCTTTCTACACACTTGGATTATTGTAGCCACCTCTTATTTCATGACGTCTGGTCCACACTCTGCACTGGCCTCTTACTCATTTGGGGTAAAGTCAAAGGCCTTAGTGGCCTACAAGTCCCCATGTGGTCTGAGATCCACCCCCAGACTCTCTGAGGTCACATCTTCCAGGTTTCCCTGTCTCACTGCTCGGCACACCAGCCTTCCCTGTTATGCATAACTGCTTCATCTTCTGGGGCATCTGCACTAGCTCTTCTGTTCACCTGGAGTACCTTACCCCTGGATAACTTCATGCCTTATTCTGCACTTTCTTCCTATCCAGCTCACATCTGTTTTTTGTTGTTGTTGTTTTTGGTGTGATATTGGGGATTGAACCCAGGACCTTCACAGTGAGCTATATCCCCAGAGTTTTTGTTTGTTTGGTTTTGTGTTTTGTTTTGTTTTGCTTTGTTTTATTTTTTAATTTTGAGGCAAGGTCTCACTAAGTTGCCCAGGCTGGCCTCGAACTTCAGCCTCCTGCGCATGTCCTCTTAAAGAAGTTTTTTTGGATTGCTTTATATAAAGAACAGTACCCTCCTTCAGTACTACTGATAATTGCCTCCTTAGCTTGCTCTAGTTTACTCCATAGCGCTAATCATTACCTGACAGATTTGTTTGTCTTTCTCATTTTACTAGAATATAAGCTCCATCAGAGCAGGAATTTTTGTCTCTTGTTAACTGCTGTATCCTCAGTGCCTAAAACAGTGCTTGGCATGAAGTTGGCATTCATGCCTACTTATTCAATGAATAAGTGAGTAAAAAGCACACTGGATTTTAAAAAAATTATTTAGTCAACTTAAGGGCTAGAATTTGGGCCCATAGAATTGAACTCTTTTTCAGTGATGAACTCTTTCCAGTTTTTCTTTCTGCTATTATGGGAGCTTTACTACTTGTTTCTTTAGGCTCTAGGGAGATTTTTAATTTGGGGTCCTTGGACAGGACATAATATGTGTCCTGCAAGATCATCTATAATTATTTTCCTTTATTAGGAAATCTGCATGCTGCCAGCTCCCCCAGTGGGGCTTTGAGAGCCCCATCACCAGCGTCATTTGTTCCAACTCCTCCCCCATCCTCGCATGGAATCTCAATAGGACCAGGGGCCAGTTTTGCTAGTCCGCATGGTGAGTCCATACCTGGAAATCGTGACAGTGTAAGAGCTTGACATAAAAATATTTTTTGTTTAATAAATTTTCTTATTGCAAAATTAGTGCTTGTTTGTTTAGGAAGTAGCAAAAGTATTGCTTGCAGAAAAAGAAACTTTTCTTGATCACACCATACAGGGGTGATGACTAGCTGGGTCTGTCTCCGCTTTCTCTATCTCTCTTTCTCTGTCTTCTGTCCCTCTCGCTCTGCCTTGCCCTCCCTACTCGCCTGCCTGCCCGCCTGCCCGCCTGCCCTCTACTCTCACACACCATCCCCCGCTTACCCCGGTGAATTGTTTTGTCACTTGAATTTTACCTTTTAACTCGAAAATTCTAGTTTGAATGGATTCAAGTAGATAAAGAATAGAAGTGATAAAAAAAAAAAGAAGTGATAGTGAAATGTTTCTTTTTTTACTGTGTCAACCACCTAGTTCCTCTTTCCAGAGGAATTTTGTATTACTAGTTTCTGATATGTTCTTGCAGAGCTGCATTTTCTTTCTTTTTTTTTAATGTATTAATTTGTTTTGGTAGCACTGGGGATTAAACTCGGGATTCGAATTGAGCTGCATCTCACTTTTTTTTTTTTTTGAGACACAGTATCACTTAGTCGCTGAATTTGCCTAGGCAGGACTCTCCTTGAACTTGCCAGCCTCCAGCCTCATCCTCTCAGAGTCAAGAGCTGCATTTTCATACACAAATATGTGTGTCTTTTTTTATAAATATGGCAGCATACTATACAGAGTCCAGTGTCTTACTTTTTTCACATAACATATCGTGAATACCAGAGCCGGGCGTGGTGGCACACGCCTGTGATTCCAGCACTGAGAGGCTGAGGCAGTAGGATTGCTGAGAATTTGAGGCCAGCCTTGGCTATATAGTGAGTTCAAGGCCAGCCTGAACTACATAACGAGACCCTGTCTCAGAAAACACACACACAAAAAAGAGCTTTCTGATTTTAAGCTGTGTATATCAGTGGTTTTATTTTTTAGTATTAGCACATATGGGAATATTTGTTAGTAAAAACTACATTATTGTACTACATGACTTTATAGTATTTTCTCTTGCTGGACATACCATAATATAACTGCTTTCTTGTATTATGTGTTTTGAATGTTTCCATTTAAAAATGGTGCCATCTGCTCACATCCATGATTATTTCCTTAGGAAAATTCCTAGAAGTGGAATTATGGTCTCAGAAGGTTTGAGAAATTCTAAAGCTTTTGAAACATAGTGCAAATGCTCCCTAAAAGGTTGTACCAATTTCCTATAGCATCATAAGAGAATGTCTATTGTCTGCATCATTGCTACCTCAGGGTATTAAGATTTTTTAAAGTCTTGGCTATTTTAATAGATGAAAAATGGTATCTTACTATTGAATATGTATTTGGTTATTAGTGGAATTGAACCCTTTTTTAAAGTACATTGGATGCCGGGCATGGTGGTGCATGCCTATAATCCCAGAACTCAGGAGGCTGAGGCAGGATGATCACCAGGAGTTTGAGGCCAGCCTGGGCTACATAGCGAGACCCTGTCTCCAAAAAAAAAAAAAAGAAGCTTTGAGATTGCTTACTATTTTCCTGCATATAGTGGCATAAAGTTGATTGTTATATATTACATATGTAGAAACTCTTGTGAAGGTAAATTTTATCCTTGTTTTTCCAATTCTCATATCCTGTTAAAAAGTATAAAAAGTACATGAAATAGAGATACATGTATGACAGGTTAAGAAACTTCAAGCTTTAGTGAAATATCTTCTTAAATAATATAAAATTAATCACCATTTAATGATTTGAATGCTGACAAATAATTTTCAGTTACTAAAATACAAGTTTTTGCTGGGCATGGTGGCACACACCTGTAGTCCCAGCACTTGGGAGGCTGAGGCAGGAAGATCACCACAAGTTTGAGGCCAGCCTGGACTACATAGTGAGGTCAAGGCCAGCCTGAACTACATGTCTCAAAAATAAATAAATAAAATACAAGGTTTGAAAACCATCTGTTTATTTTTTTCAGGAGCTCTCGATCCTAGTTCCCCTTACACTATGGTATCACCAAGTGGACGAGCAGGGAACTGGCCAGGGTCTCCTCAAGTGTCAGGCCCTTCAACAGCCACACGTTTGCCTGGAATGTCACCAGCTAACCCATCACTACATTCTCCAGTTCCAGATGCTTCTCACTCTCCTCGAGCTGGAACAAGTGAGTGTCAATCAGCATTTTTGTGTTCTTAGTGTAACTAACAAATGACCTGTTTTATCCCATCCTCACATTTGAAAGTCATGACCCATTTGTTGAATGAGGATTCCTAGAAACTTAAAATCTGTATCCATAGCATAAATCCATTAACAATGTTAATTTGCAAAGTCATAAAAAATGTAAGAAAGGGAGCTATCTCCTCAAGTTGTATGAAGTGAGTCCCAGCACCTCTCTCTTGACCACTAACTTGTAGCTGCCATATTGGACCATAAAAGATACTTTAAGTGACATGGTTATGCAGATTAATGCAGAAGACAAGACTTGTACAAATACATTTGTTAGCTTTCACTGCTAAACTGAGTGCTTAAAACAACAATCAAATGTTAGCTCATCGTCCTGCAGTTTGGTAGCCTCTGCTGGGCTCTCTCGTGTGTCAGTGGTCATTTCCTGGGTTGACTAGGTACTGGCTGGCCTAGGATAGCCTCAGCTGGCATGGCTCCTGTCTGCTCTCTGTGGTCTCATACTTGATCAGGAGCTTCTTCATGGGGTTGGATGAGGTTCCAAGAGAGCAAGTACAAGTCTAGGCTTACAGTTAGCTCAGTGTCACTGCCACCACATTCTGTTGGCCAAAAGCGAAAGGTAAGGCCAGCCAGATTCCAGGTAGATAAATAGAACCCCAGCCCTTTAAAGATTTTCTGCATTCACTTGCAAGGGGCCTGGATACAGGAAGGAGAATAATTATGGCTGGTTTTGCTAACAGAAAGTTTTACTATATAATTGCTACACCACAAGGAGTAACCAAAACAGTGCAGATTGATTGAGAATACCAACATTTTCTAAGAAAATAAAACAGGAAAGAATGAGATACTATGCATTTATAAATGAAATGGCATGTTTTTCTTCCCCACAGGTTCCCAAACAATGCCAACAAACATGCCTCCACCTCGTAAACTACCTCAGCGCTCTTGGGCAGCATCCATACCAACCATCCTCACTCACAGTGCCTTGAACATTTTACTGCTGCCCTCGCCAACGCCAGGCCTTGTGCCTGGCCTGGCAGGGAGTTACCTTTGTTCCCCACTTGAGAGATTCCTTGGATCAGTCATCATGAGACGACACCTTCAAAGAATTATTCAACAAGAAACGGTATGGGTACCTATTGACCTTCTAAGTGGTGATGATCAAAGGTAGAATGCTGAGTTGTCTTGCAGAATAGGATCTGAACTAGAGTAATACTCTCTCATCCCCTTTAGCCAGCTTGTTAGAATTAGACTTTCCTTTCTGCTCTAGCATTAAAAATGGATGCCACTATTTCCTTTGCATTCTTAGGTTAGTATATTTTTGCATTTTATAGTTTGCTGTGCTGTGGCTTCCATGTCTTGTGACTAACGTGGACCTGGAAACAAGTTACCACGTCATATAGGACCAGTGTGCGTAGGATGTAGCCTTGCAGAGACTAGCACCTGAGTAACCATTTGCCTTTGCAGCCAGGCTGCCTTCAAATCTGAATGTCTGTTGAAGTAAAATTATTTATGATTGCAGGGGTGAAAATACATAAACAATTGAATATATTTAACACCCTTACAGAAAAGGACATCTAACCCATCCTATAGTGATACTGTTAGGAAATAGTACAGGGCATACTGCCTGAAAATAGACTGTTGGGAAAATGTCTTCACCTTTCTGATAATGGTATCTACCTACTAACAATTGTGGGAATTTGAGCTATTTAGTATAAAGTCCTTACCATAATGTCCCGGTGCTCAGTACACATTAGTTATAATTTTATATTATTATCGATATAATGTATTAATGAGGTAGTCAAATGGTAAATGTTTAAAATATCCACTCCATGGTTGGCACAAAGCCATGCTGCAACCTTTATATTCAGATATGGAGGAAAAAAACAAAAGTTTTAGCATAAGCTGAATAAATTAGCATTGAAACCGTTAATCATGAGACCAGTGATCAGCTCTGCCATTTGCATTCCATGTCAGCTTTCGGGTCATTGAACTTCATTTTGCTCACCTCTATCAACTTAGTTGTTTTCCTTTTGAAATAATTCTCTCAGTAACATACTCATTTTCTTTTTGTCTTACATGTTGACTTGAAACATTCTTCTTATTTTGCAGCTACAGCTGATAAATTCCAATGAACCTGGAGTGATCATGTTTAAAACTGATGCACTAAAATGCAGAGTAGCCCTTAGTCCCAAAACCAACCAGACCCTTCAGCTAAAAGTGACACCGGAAAATGCAGGACAGTGGAAACCTGATGAACTTCAAGTTTTGGAGAAATTCTTTGAGACAAGAGTATGTGTATAATAATGCATGGTTTTATTATAATTGGTGCAACAGGGAGATCAAAGCAGAAGGAAGAGTAACTTGCTTTATTTATCCTCATAGGTTGCAGGACCACCGTTTAAAGCCAATACATTAATAGCCTTCACCAAACTATTAGGAGCACCTACACACATCCTCAGGGACTGTGTGCATATTATGAAGCTAGAGCTGGTAAGTTCCAGAGAAACATGTACTTTTCTTGCAAGGTCTGTGTAGGGAAATTCAAGTTGGTGGGAGGAGTGTTTCTTAGTTTTCACTCATTTATGTACTTTCTCCCATTTTTCTCTCAAATTCTGAATTTTTAACTTCAATTTTATTTATCTTTAGTTGGCACCGTTCCATCCAGAACAATATGATAGAGTGAGAAATTCCTCCTCTGTCCCTATGCACCATCCTCTGTCCAACCACAGAATTCCCTGTGGCTTGCCTCTCGCTGCAGAGGGTTTGTTCATAAAGGCCAGTAAATCTCTCAAACACACTTTATTTTAATGAGATGATTTGTACTTTTATTATGAAATCTTTTACACATATATAAACGTGTAGTGTTACAATCTTAAAAATCTTGATTCCTCACTTTTGTTGGTCATACACACTGTGTTAAGATGGAAGTGCTGAATCACAGACAGCAGATGCTGCAGGGGCAACAGTCACCTCACCTCAGAGTACTAAATAGCAGCTCTTGCTCTGGTTTTGGCCTTTCAAGGATTTGCTTTATTTTCTGCATAGTGCAGTCTGCATTTGTATTAGTTTTCTAGTGGTCCTGTAAGAAATTACCACAAACTGAATGGCTGACAAGAGCAGCAGTTTATTCTTTCATAGCACTGGAAGCTAGAAATTCTCAATGAAGCTGTCAGTGGGGCCATGCCGTCTCTGAAGGTTCTAAAGGAGAATCTCTTCAATGCCTTCCTCTTAGCTCCTGGTAATTGCCAGGAGTCCTTGGTGTCCCTTGGCTTATATACCCATCATTCCAGTCTCTGTCTCCCCATGTGTATCTCTGCCTGTGTCTCTTTTCATCTTATAAATGACAGCAGCTACATTGAATTAGGATTCACCCTCATGAGCTCAACTCGATTACATTGCAAGTACCCTGTTGTCAAGTAAGATACTGGGAATTAGGACTTCACATCTTTTTCAAGCACTTAATTCAACCTGTAACAGCAATTAAAGAGATGTCTCCCCACCTCCAAATATTTGTTAGTGTTTGTGGTGGAAGGCTGTTGAGGTTGACTCAGTATTTGAAATGGAGGAGAATGTTGCTTAGTTCACTGAATGAATCTTGGGAAATCTTTCCATATCAGTACACAAAGAAGGTCCTTGTGTTTTTGAACAAAGCCTTAATTTCTTTTCTTTTTTTTTTTTTTGGTACCGGGGATTGAACTCAGGACCTTGCTCTTGCAAGGCAGGCGTGGTGCCGCTGAGCTAAATCCCCAGCAAAAGCCTTTGTTTCTTTATATAAATGTATTAAAATGGCTAACCAGTCTTCTCTTGATGGTCATTTTGGGGGTTTCTGATCTTTTGCTGTTACAAAGAGGGCCACAATAAAGAGCCTTTTGGCAGATGTGCCTATGTATCTGTAGGATCTGTTTTTAGAATTAATAGTTAAGTCAAAGGATATGTATGCTTATAATTTTGACATATTGCCAAATTTTTCTCCATGGAGATCATGCCAGTTTATATTCCCACTAGTAATTTATGAGAATACTTGCTCTTCTATATCCTTGTCAACAGCTGTATCACTCTTTAGATTTTGGAACTTTCTTTTACTGATTTGTAGACACTCTGTGCATATTACAGAAGTTAGGCCCTTGAGATATTACTTGTAATTTAAAAATAAATAAATAAATTAATTACTTAAGCTAGCTGTGCTGGGGATGGAACCCAGGGCCTTGTGCTTACCAAGCAAGTGTTCTACCACTGAGCTGGTAGAACACCCCTGGCCCTGTTGTAAATATTTTTTCCTAATTTTACATTTGTATTTTTGGTAGGCTTAATGATTTTCTTTTTTTGAGACAGGGTCTCGCTGTATAGTTAAGGCTAATCTTGAACTCACTTTGTAGCCCTGACTGGGTTCAAATTCAATGGTGATCCTCTTACCTCAGCCTGGGTGCTGTGATTATAGGCATGTGCCACCGCACCTGACGATTTAACTATTTTCTTAACAATCATACAAATGGAATCCAGGTGACAACTGATTTAATTTTTCAGTCTAGTCCTTTCATTTTAATGTTTCTAGTGTTGCTTTGAGTAACCCCAGTACAACACTCCTTTTAGTTGGAGTTTTACTATTGGGGAAGCAATGTTCTTTTGCTAGTGGTCTGAACATTTGGCTTCTGATCTAGTATAGGCTGTAGCAAACATTGTGTCAGAAATCTTTGAGATTTTAAAGAAGTAAATATTTATGTGTCTAAAGCACCAGTGGATATAATTGAAACTCATTAACACAGTTTGAGTAGTTTAGGGAAAGAGTTGGAAAAAGGACTGGAAAGTCTAGATTAACCAGGTAAGAAGGGGCCTTGACTGCCAGGTGTTGGTCTTCAGTGTTGGGGAGTGGAGCAGAGGGGCAGTATGTGTCCCAGAATGTCCCTGGACATTTGTGAGCTTGATGGAACTAGCAGTAGTGTAAGAGAGGAGTAGGAGAGGCAGCTGCTGGAAGGGACTGCTACGGGACCCTGGGAGAAGTGATGAAGCCCCGAGCTTGGTGACCTCTGTGAAAATAAGTGAGGGGACAGGCGTCAGAGACACTGCAGAAGCCAAATCCACAGGCCTTGGCAAGTGAGTGAAGTGGAGGGGAGGGAGGGGACATGCTACATAAATTTAGGGTTGACTATCAGTTACTTTATGTATATATTTCTTTGAGAAAAAAAAGATTATCATCATTATGTTCTGTTAATAATTAGGTGTAAGATGAAATTCTGACCTTTCAGACTCCAATACTAGAATATGACTTTACATGTTCATATATATATATATATGTATCTATGCATGATATATGTGTATGTATAGATGTATATATACTTTATGATGGTTTTTCCTTTGTTTCACCAAAACAGTTCCCTGACCAGGCAACACAGCTAAAATGGAATGTTCAGTTTTGCCTGACGATCCCTCCCAGCGCACCGCCAATTGCACCTCCTGGGACGCCTGCTGTGGTGCTGAAATCCAAAATGCTATTTTTTGTAAGTACCATCCGGCACCTGTGTATGGGTAGAACTTCTGAGGAGAAAGCCACGTGAGAGTAATAGAGCAGCTTATGGATAACTGCATAAATTTTTCATTGCTGCCAAAGATAGACTCAGATTCCTTAAATGTCAGTTTAGACTTCATGGAATCTTGGGTCCTTTAGTAATAATAGAAATTTATTGAACTAAGAAACTGTGGCACAGTTGCATTTGAACTGTAATACTCAGTTGTCACTTTTCTTGTCATATTTAATTTTCTTTTGCTTGCTGAATCAATCGGAAAGTATAGTAAATGATACTGCCCTATGACAAATTTAGACAGATATTTTATTTTCTTAATGTTTCTATTCTCTTTGTGTGTCTACAGCTTCAACTAACTCAGAAAACATCGGTCCCTCCCCAAGAACCTGTTAGTATTATAGTTCCAATCATTTATGACATGGCTTCAGGTACAACCCAGCAGGCAGACATTCCCAGACAGCAGAACTCTTCTGTTGCTGCTCCCATGATGGTCAGCAGCATTCTGAAGAGGTTTGCAGAGATGAATCCACCACGACAAGGTACATGACCAGTAGACAATGTTTTCTATTGCATATATGTTCTAGAAGTTCTTTTGAGAGATACCTCCTTCTATTCTCTTTACCCTTTACCCACCCCCAACCCCAATCCTAATACTAGAGCTCTGGTTGCCGTGGCCCTCTTACTGTCTGCCTGTCGCTTTCTTCCTTTCTCACTGGTTTTTCATTTTTGTCCATTTCTCTGCTGCCTGGACTTTATTTTCCTTAGTGATTTACTATTGGGACTGACCCAGTTGCTAATGCCAGAAGCTTGTATTTATAGCACACATTGATTGCCACAAAGCCCGAGGTTAGGATGATAGAATTTTCCATGGCTGTGAATTCCTGCCCTACCATCAATACCTGCCACTCTGTACATCACAAAGTTGGAATGCATGTTGGTTTCTCATATTTCATGGTTCAATCATGAATAGAATACTATCATTAAAAGTTCTGTATCTTCTAAATGTTTTGTGAAGAATAAAAGCTGATACAAATGGCATCACTGCTTTTTGGGCTTCTTATATAAGTGTCAGGCGGGTGCAAGTGAAACTTCACCAAGTGCACAATGAATGAAGCTCTCAAACTGAACATTTCCCAGGAAACCAGAGTGCTTCCAGAAAGATAAACGAAGTCCCTTTGATACTGGAGTAGCCTACACTTAACACGCAGCTCCTGGCAGTGCTAATTCTGGGGTTACAAAATAAAGCTCACCCAGGAGAACTTTTCTTCTATTTTGCTCATTTCTAATATTAAGAAATTAAATTTAAATTACAATTTTACTTATTTCTAACATTAAGGAAGTCCTCTCTTTGTTTAGAATAGTTCAATAACAGAATTATGGTAAACGAGGGAAAGTTGTTCTCTGAAACATTTTTAGGTACCACAGTGTCAAAGATTTAGGACTCATGAGAATTGTTTATTTAAACTATTTGTTTCCCCATATTGTACGTAAGTGATTTCTCACTTTAGTTTATAAGGAATACACTGGGCAGTAGAGAACAGTATGCTTCTTTTGTTGTGGTACTTCTTCTTACAATTTTCTGCTTTCATCCTTTGACTTCTCTCTTCTTTCAGCTAAAAGTAGGTCCTCAAGAATCAAAGTTTAAAGCTATCAGAATTCTCAAAGTAGCAGTCCAGTAGAACTTTTGATAATCATTCCTTCAGAGGCAGTTGACTATCTTACATGTTTTATGTATTATGTCTCGTGGAATTTAAAATTAAAGGAAAATGTTTTGATCCTATTGGGATCAAGTTTTCCTCCCTTATCAATGGAAGTATTTTTTTAAATGCATATATCACTTTCTTTTGTTTAAGAAATTGGTCAGCTATTTTAGAAGTGTTTTTCTTTTTCTCCCCCTTTGGTTGGACAGGCGTTTAGATTTCCTTTTCTTTCTGGACCTTGATTTTCCAGTGGTTGGAGAGAAGGTTGGCAGCAACCTAACACAGGGTCACTGCACATCCTGCCCTGCCAGATTCACATGAGTCTTCAGTTCTCCCACCTTCAACCACATAGTGTCAAACTGTGATCTGGTAAAAGGGACCCAGCTTTGGGTGAATAATATTTAAGTATTTGTAATATTTATAAGAAGTGAGAGGCAAAAGGGAAATAGAGACCCTTTCCCCCCCAACAGAAGATCTTATTTTTGGATTGTTGGTCTACCATACTTGGGGCTCCCTCCCTCCTCCACGCACCCATCACTTCTTCCAGGGTGAAGAGCTTTGAAGAAAAATCACTTTATGAATTCTAGAAGTTGGCTATTTCCTTGGAATGTGGTAGAAATCTCCAGTAGATGTCATAGACCTGCACTGTCCAAGATAATTGCCACTAGCCAGATGTGGCTAATTAAGTTAAATTAAAATCTAGATTCAGTCTCACAGTCACGTGACCTACATTACAAGTGCTCACTAGCCACAGTGCATATGTACGTGTCTGTTATCACGGAAAGTTCTCTCGGACAGTGCTGTCATAGACATTTTTATCTGGCCATCAACGCAACATTAGGACATCACCAAAGTTGTAATATATAAACTAGATTTTTTCATTAGATCCAAAATGCACAAGGAGTCAGTAGCCTTAACCTTTTAGTATAAAGCTTAACTTTACAGGCTTGTCTAATAAAACATTGTTTCTGTACAACCCCTGGCATATCTTCTTAAATTCAAATCTAACTGGGACTCACTCAGAATGTTCTACTGAGGAGGGAAAAAAAAAAAACCAAAACCCAAGCCAAATATAATCTGATAATTCATACAGCTCAACCCCCTCTATACTCTGAACAGTTAAAATTCAGTCTTTTATTTTGATCTTTAAAGTTCTTACTAATTTTAGGTTTAATTCCCCTCCCCCGCCAGTGTGTTAACATCATCTTTTCTGTATTGCGAATAGCTAATGACCATTTTTCTCTGTTGCAGGTGAATGCACAATATTTGCAGCTGTTCGTGATTTAATGGCTAATCTTACACTGCCCCCTGGTGGGCGTCCATAGATACTATTGTTTTTAAACCAGGAAGGCTGACAAATGAGACAAAACAACCAAAAAAAAGTCTGAATTCAGCCTTCAGTTTAAAAAAGAAAAAGGACTTTTTTTTATTTTAAGAGCTAACTATTCTAAACTGGCAAAAAATTTCAGGGTGCACTTCTTTCTTCAAAAAGATCATCAATCTTTTGTATAATGAACTTGTATAGTGTGTTTAAATGGGACACGTTTCAAACTAGGTAATATATCAGTGTCCACTTGCCAGTAATAGAGTTAATATTCTGTTTTATACTATAAAGTTATGAAAATGCCAAACTTGTTTATTTAATTGTTTTCTTATGTTTTGGGTGTAATAGTCCTTTTTTATTTTTGTTTTGTTTTTTAAGGCAGGTCTGTCATTTTTGAATACTGTAAAACTGTGATAAACTTTATATTGAAGCTGTATTTTAATATGACCGCTTTGAATCCTTACATGAAAATGTTCTGGGAGTTGTTATAAACACATCCCAAAGAAGCAATATTTAATAAAACTAGGTTAAAAAAAAAAGACACTCACTGTGTGTGTATAAGCTCTCTAGACTTCTTAGGGCCTCCCTTCATTTTTAACCTGGTGGGTCCAATAATTAATCTTTAATAATACATGTCTGAAATTTGACCAAAAAATCCTGTTTGTTTCAAGTTAATTTATTTTCTTCAAACATTCCTAACTTAACTGATAGTAACATTTAACACCATGGTTGTCTTTCAGTGTAGGATTTGGGTACAAAATAATCTAGTCCAGTGATGGCGAACCTTTTAGAGCTTTCAGTGATACAGCCCTCTGTGACACGCGTGCCATAGGTTCGCCACCCATGATCTAGTCTTTGAGAAGAAAGTGATTTATACTAAAAGGATCCCAAATAATGCAACGGTTCTCATCTGTTGAGGATATGGGAACTTTTCTGTTAGGCAAATTTTATTTACAGGATACTTCTGCACACAGCATTAACTAGGACACAAAGAACTTTAGTGCTCTACCCTTGCATGAAGTTTCTGTGACATTTCTTTATCTCACTTCACTTTTCCTTGTCTTCCCCAACAAAACTGAAGTTGTTCAATCAATCTCAATTTAATTTGTTGTCAACAAAATGATAGAATGGTTTACTTGGAAGAAACCTGGTCCACTCATTTTGAAGAGTCCAAGATTCAGGCCTGTCCAGAATCTAGTGGAGTGTTTGGGTATTGACACATCTCAGCAGGGTTTCTTTTTGGAGCACTGTACTGTTTCTCCCAGTCAGAGACTTTTTGAGCTTCAAAGAACATGATCTGAAGCAAAGATCTTCTGGTGACTTGATGTTATTTGGAAAAGATTTTAAAATAATGTATCATTCTGAGTTATCTGGACACTATAATACTGGCTCACTGTTAAATTTTAGATGCTTTGTCTAATTCCACTTTAAGATGATTTAATTGGGTTTCTATAACCACCAAATTCTAGTTTCAAGCATCCTACTGTAACAGTATATCTGCTCTCAACTTTGCTTGATTCCCCATTCACATCTGGTTAGAGGTGAGGCCTTCTTTGTCTTTCTTTTGTGTCTTATTTCTGCCTTCATCTCCTGCTTCTCACTCAACTCTGTTACTAGTCAGGGGCAGGTTTATCCTTTCTTTAACTTACCTTTGTATCCTTCTGTTTTCAGTCTCCTTATAATGGTACTCACATAGATTTGGCAATCTAAAATGTCTTTATCAAGGGTCAGCCCTTTTCTGTTTGGTGCTAAACCCTTTCTTTCATGTAGAAATCTACATGTCATATACAAGAAGAGTATTTTTATCTGCAGAATAATATTGTTGCAAATAATTTTAAAAACAGACTTTCCAAATATTTTTTAAGTGTAGTTTTAAAATGTTAATTGAATTTTTATGCATAATGCATTCAATGGGCACTTTTTCCCTAATTATGACTTGTCTCTGAATGCATTGTGTAAATCAAAACATAGGAATCAGTGAACAGAATTTGCTTTTGATGCTTATTAAGAGTAAACCCATGAATTTGAGTTTTGATATCATGCTTGGTACTTGGAAGTAATACATACTTCATTAAAGCTTGACATTTAGAATTTGAATTTTAAATTTCATCACAAACCATGTCTTTTGCCTCTTTTGTTACCTAGGTTCAATCAAAGGGACTGGATGCCCATAGCAATTTTCCCCAGTAGGTGATTTGGGACTTTTAGGTGTTTTCAATGTGATTTTAGTATTTACAGTAATAAATAAATTTTATACAAGTTTCAGAGAACTGCCAACTTTCTCTAGTTAATTTTGGTGAAGATGTTTTGGATTGTAGTCTGGTTTAGCATTAGTTTAGCCTCGAAAGAAGGAATTAGTCCTGATTGCCACCTTCTTTTTTCCATCTACTGAAATGCTGTTTTAAAACATATGGAAGTGCTTTTAGAATTAGGAAGGAAAGTGAAAACTTCAACAGAATATACCAAGTTATTGATAGGAGCTGAACTTTATGTTTGAAAACTGAGTGAGCTAAGGGAAAGCATAAACTGAAACATGCATGATTTTGAATGTAAATACCACTAACTACTTTGTTGCAATTAACACAGTGACTTGTTCACCTGCAGGATGCTAATAGTCATTCTCTGGACTGTGATCAAACTGGTAACTTCAAGAAAATATACTTGGAACTTTGCTGCTCTGAATTCTGATACAATTTCAACATAAAAGTTGTTCCTTCCATGTTTTTTGTTTCCCCAAAGAAATACCCATTACAAAAAAAAAATTTTTTTAAAGAAGTGAGGTCTTGCTGTGTTGCCCAGGTTGGGCTTGAGTCCCCAGGCTCAAGCAATCTTCCTGCCTCAGCTTCCTGAGGAGCTGGAACTACAGGTGTTCTTGATAGGATATTAATATACTGAAAAGTTTAAGAGCCGGGGATTTAGCTCAGTGGTTCCAGCGCCTGCCTCACAAGCACAAGGACCTGAGTTCGATCTGCGGTACCAAAAAAAAAAAAGTTTAAGAGAACTTACATTCAAGGGATAGAAAGGAAAAATGTTAATGTAGGTTCATTGTTTCCTGTGGAGTTTTCTTTTTCATTGGATTTGATGGAATGGAAGGTGTCAAAGGGTATGACTTGAATTCCCTTAGGATGGATTTAGCATTGAAGGGTTTAAAGATTAGCAGAAGCCAGGCAGCCCTGCTGCACATCTCCAGGAACACCACGATCTCACAATTTTCTATGAATTGCCCCACTTCCAAGTGGTCAGTGATTTGTTCAGATACCTTGCCCAGGAATTTAAGTGATGAAATCACTTTTTATTTAGGTCAATGTAAAATAATAGCTAATAATTACTGAGAGCTTACCATGTGCCAGGCAGTGCTCTAAGCGTTTGCAATGTGTGTTTAATGTCCCCAACCACCCTATGAGGTAAGTATGAATGCCCCCCTTTTACAGACGATGAATGGAGGCCCAAAGGAATGAAGTAATTTGCTTGGGATGAAGTTAGAATTGCTTACAATCAGATTACTTAAGAAGAGGCAGTTTGAGTCCAGAGATAGTGCTTCTGTACACAGCCTGTTGTGAATCAAGCAGTCCGGGAAAGGCTTCAGTGTTTACATTCTTCCTTCGAAACCTTTTGACTACACACACGTTTTTCAAGCTCAAGCAACTCAATAAAAGGAACTAAAACCGACACGACTTCTTGTCACTTGGAGTTGACAATCTAAAACCTCTGACCTCTGTGGCACTTAACTTGCAATTTTAATCACACTACCTTTGCGGTCTAAATAATTACCGTCTGACCTTTTCCCGATACTTTGGGATGTGCTTAGCCGGCTTGAGTCTGCAGCTCTCCAGAACCCAGGGAGCACGCTGCCCAGTGTGCCTCTGCCAGGCAGCCCAGTGGTGGAGTTTTTGAGCTTTGTGTCCGCTTAGCACACCGCGGGCGCATGATACGTGCACGGTACAGGCAGCCAGCGGTCACGTTTCACTAATGCCTAAATTTGCTACAGCCAGTCTGCGGATTTAGGAACGAGTTAACTATCTTTCAGGATTGCATAATGCAAGGAATATATGTAATTCAAGAAATGTGCTTTGAGCACTTTCTCAGTCTCTACAATAAAGATTATCAGGAGTCCCTACATCAAGGAGAGGGAGTTGAATGTGTTTGGGGGAGGGGTGGGAGGGGCAGGGTCTCAGTCTGGGGGACGTGCAGGGGACGAACGGGTTTCAGGCTGAGGCTGCCTGGACGCGCACCGAAGCAATGAAGCACAGCTCTCACGCAAAATAGGGCGGGGTTGACGTATCGCGGAAACGAAACCACCCTCCCCCCCCCCCCGTGACGAGGCGCCGCGCTCTCAGCCTCGGGCCTGCGCGTTGGCCGCCTCTGGGCGGGGCCGCGCCTGCGCCTTGGGCGGCTCCCAGGCTCCTGCCCCTGCGCACTGCCGTCCGCCCAGCCCCCGGCCCGAATTGGAAAATGGTGCTGCCAGAGCTAGCAGCGCGCCTAAACTGCACGGAGTACAAGAACTGGGTGAAGGCGGGACACTGCCTGCTGCTACTGCGTAGCTGCCTGCAGGGCTTCGTCGGTCGCGAGGTGCTCTCCTTCCACCGCAGCCTGCTCGCGGCCACCCCCGGCCTGGGCCCCCGCGCCACCTGCCGCGGCGGTTCTCGGTGCAGCCCGCGTGCCCGCCAGGTGAGCACCCCGCCCGCGAACTTGACCACCGCCCCCACGCCATTCCGGTCCCCATCTCGGAGCACAGAGTGTCCCGTTCCCTCTGCGGGTCGGGGCCGACCGCGGCGCCTCGGGCTCAGATTCCAGGCCCCCTCACCTCCGCCCCCCTGTAGTTTCAGCCTCAGTGTCAGGTGTGCGCAGAGTGGAAGCGGGAGATTTTGAGACATCACGTCAACAGGAATGGAGACGTGCACTGGGGAAACTGCCGGCCGGGCCGCTGGCCCAGCGACGCCTGGGAGGTGGCCAAGGTAAGCACCTGCAGCCGACGGGAAGGAGGGCGCGGCGGGTCCCGTGGTCCCCGGGGCGGCTAGTGGTCCTTGCGGAAGCCCGGGCCTTCCGAAAGAGGTGCACAGATCGCTGGCTCGTCTGGAGGAAATTGTCTAGGCAGTTAGAGGCCATTAGAGTGAACCTGACCCAGTTTAGTGAAGTAGAAGCTTTTCAGTTTGCTGCCCCTGCTTGGGAAGCTATAGAAAAGATTTCAACAGGAGGTGCTAGGATGGGGCGGGATGTAGAGCGAGCGCGGTGAGCAAGGGCCTGGAGAGAGATGTAAGTCGTGTTTGAGGGCGGGGTCATTTGGGATACGGGTGTCATGAGGATGGCAGAGTATGACAAGGGAAGTTAAGATAAAGTAGAAAAGACCCGAAGTGCCCAGCTAAAGAATAAAACTTAGAGACAGTGGAGATGGGGCAAGCAGCCAGATAGAGACTCTGGGCCTACTGGGAAAGTGTTTTGACTTCCCCATGTTTGCCAGAAGCCCAGTAGTGGGAAGAGAGGGGCATTCAGAAGCGGCTTCCTAACAGACTAATTTCTGGAGTCAGCGTAGCGGGGGTGGCACCTAGGGAGGAGGTGATCTGAGGCCTATCCCAACTGCTTGGGTGATGTTAGTCAGCTTCTGTACCCAACCGCAAAAACCAGGGGACTGAATGGTCTGCGTCGGGGGTGCCCAGACTTGGTTTGCATGGACAGTAAACCTACCGTACCTACATCCTTCTCCCCATTTTTTTATTGCCACCATAGAGTTGTTAACTTTTACCTAGAAAAGAGAAAAATTTTAAACAAAACCCTACCCTTTCTTGTGACTGCCCCTCATCTCTTTGTTCTCCACTACTGTTTTCACAGCCCTGGAATCCCCTTGAAGCCAGTGCCACCTGCTTATGCCGCTCTTTCCTCCTTTTTGGGTTTTTTTTTTTGGTACCGGGGATCAAACTCGGGACCTTGCACTTTCGAGGCAGGCGCAGTGTCACTGAGCTAAATCCCTGGCTGTTTTGTTTGTTTTTTGAGGCAGGGTCTCACTGTAGTTCAGGCTGGCCTTGAACTTTCAGCAATCCTCCTGCCTCAGCCTCCTGAGTGCTGAGAGTGCTGGAATTGCAGACGTGTGCCACCACATCAGGCTTTCCTCCTCTTTGTTGCTGGCCACCTGTAGACCCAGTCCAACCCCATTCTCTTAGTTCCTGGGCTTCCTACTCTAACTTCCTTCTTCCACTGTACTCAGTGCCCCTCTTGTAGGTTCACACCCTGGACCCTGTTGGCATAGGAAATCTCATTAACATCCTGCTTGCCTTTGGCACACTTACTCCAGCACTCCTGGCTCCACCCTGTGTCCCTGTACTGTGCTCTTTGAGGCTTTTACTGCTTTCTCTATACTCAGTAACTCCGCCCTCCTGCCTGCCTTTGTTTCCTCAGCAGGCCCAGTTCCCAGTCCCTTGTAGCTAGCCTGGTCTTTTTCTCCTTTCTCTGAACTTGCCCCCCACCCCCCCAACTCCATCCCTGAAGATACCAACCATCATCTGCTTCTGCTCAGGCATGAATTTCACAAAAGAGCTGACTGGTTTCACTTTTGTTTGGCCACACGTCTCTCTCTCGGCTCCAGTTCCTAGCTTTCCTCACCCAGCTCCCACTCCTGTTCCTCCACCCTTGCTCCAGCTGCACACTTTGCTCTGGCTTCCTGGAGTTGATGGATGCCCCCAAACACAGACTTCCTTGTCTTTTTGCCAAACCTACCAGCCTGTGCACCATCTTCCCCCTGCTATAAAGGAAGGAGTGCCTCCTCTCACTGTCCTGTCCTTCTAGTACTTGTGTGTTGGGTCTTATCCCCTCCCACCTGCCCAAAGCCTTGAAGTCTTCAGTTGTCATTCTTTCTCCCTCCCAGCTTGTTTTCATCGCCATATAAATAGCTCAAATATCATCTTGGTTTATTAATTAAAAAGAAAGAAAAGTGGTGGTGCCTGCCCATATTCCCAGCACTGTGGGAGTCTGAGGCAAGAGGATGGCAAGTTCAAAGTCAACCTGGGTAACTTTGAACTTAGAATGAGACCCTGTCTTAAAATGGGGCGGGGGGGGCCCCTCTGGGCTGTGGCTCAGTGAGAAGGCCCTGAGTTCAAACCCCAGTACTGACAAAGAAAGGATCATAACCTTTCTTAACATAACCCAGGAGTTTTTCTTTAGGTACACACCTAAGAGATATGAAAACATATATCCACACAAAAATGTGTCCACAAATGTTCTGTACAACACAATTCCCAGTAGCCAAAAGTGGGAAGCAACTCAGATGTCCACCAGATGACGAATGGACAAACAGTCCGTACAATGGAATAACTTTTGCCATAAAGAGGAATGAACATGAACAGATCTTGACAACATTATGCCAAATGAAAGGAGCTAGTCATATATTGTATGATTCTATTTATGTATGTAGTCTTTTGTGTGATTCATTATTCATTCATCCAGAATAGGCACATCATGGAGATAGAAGGAGATGAATTGTTGCCAGGACCTGGAGTATTAGGGGAATGATAGCTAATAGATAATGGGGTTTCCTTTGGGGGTCATGAAGATGTTCTAAAATGACTATAGCAATGGTTGTACAATTCTGTGACTATACTAAAAACCATTGAATTGTGCACTTTAGATGGGTACATTATATCTCAATAAAGCTATTTTTTAAAAAACACTTGCCAGGGATTTAGCTCAGTGGTTCTGTCACCTGCCTCGCAAGTGCAAGGTCCTGAGTTCAATCCCCGGTACCAAAAAAACCCCCCCAAAACTCCAGTAAATACTTAGAAAAAAAAATTTTTTTTAAAAGGACATGCTTTCCTTTGATCCTCGCTCTCCAGTGACCTCCCTGTTTCTCCATCTGCCTCCTGTAGGCACACTTGGCAGAGCTTTTCCAAAAGAGGCCTGGTTCTGCTCTCTTTTCCTTGGCTTCTGGTACTCCAAAGTCGTCCCCCCCACCCCCTGCCTCGCTTCTGCCTTGGTGACCTTTGCCAGTCACATCTTTCTTACCTCTCAGGCCTGCAGCTCTGCTGGGCTTTGTAACTTCTCATCTCCTGCCTCTCTTCCAATCTCCTTGGCTCTTCCTTAGCCTTCCTTGGGTCCCAGGGCTGGGCCTCTCCCATCCACTTCTTCCCTGGTGACTTTGCCCGGGCCTGTGGAGTTAAATGCTGCCTTTGTGCCGATGGCTACCAAATGTATGTCCCTAGCCCTGCCGCCTTCTCCGACTCCAGATGCACGTATCCATCTGCTTCCCTGACCCTTCTACTTCGTGGCCTCACTGGGACTTTGTATTTAGTCCTAAAGTGTCTAAAGTGGGCCCCCACCAGACGCCCATTCTCACCACCAACTTCCCAGACCAGAACCATCATCATTTCCAGTCTTTCCCTCTCACTATCTCCCCTTCCTCACATGTACCACAAAATGGTTTTGGATTCCTCCTCTCTTCCATCTGTGTGTCACACCTCTCACACTCCTGCCTGGACTCTGCCTCAGCCTCCGGCCTGCCACCTCTGCTGCTCCAGCACCTCTGGTTGGTTCCCCCCACAGCAGCATATGCCTTCTGCAAATGGGAATCCTGTCTGTCCATGCCGTGCCTTCACGGCTTCCTGGTGCCCTTAGAATAAACTCAGCACTTCCTTTCTGAGCCAGTGAGGCCCAGCATGGTCTGCCCCCACCCCCTGTCCTATTCACTGAAGGGACAGCAGAGGGTGAACAGTGGTAGTAGCACCTGTTTCTTACCATTCATTGGGTGCTCACCATGTGGGACCTGGTGGTACACAGTATAATTTTTAATTTTTTAATAGGCATAAAGGAATTTATTAGGCACAATTTTCAAAGTGCACACACAAAGAACTAGAGTGTGGGCCTTCAAAAGGGAGAGAGGGTCCAGACCCTGGGGTCTGGAACTGGGACTATTTATATGTTTTTAGACAGTAGAAATCTAGAATTTGTGACTATAGAAAGATTCACATATATTCACTTATATCGGGCTTGGTTTCCTATAAGAGAAAAGCGACAGCCCACCCACAGGTAGGAAGATAATAACTCATTTTGCGAAGGGCAACAGATTCGGAGTTCAAAGAGTGTTTTAGGCAAAACAGATCACACAGTATGATTTTTAAGAAACTGCTTTCTCTGCAAGGAGGCAGCAGAGCTGCCCCATTGGCTTCTAGTTCTGAAAGGGAATAATTATGAAAGTAAAACTGTAATGTGGAAGAGACTGGTTCATATCTGTGAGAAAATGCCAGACAGGACCCCTTTCATAGTGCAAAAGAAAACACTAGGCTTGGCTTAGAGGCAAACTAAGACCCCTCTAACTTTCCATCTTCCTCTCAGCAGCAGCTGAATTACAGTTTCTTTTCTTCCATTTCATTGCATTTAGTTTGCCTGCGATGAGTTAGTTGGCTTCTTTGTTTTCTTGGTAGCATCCATATTTCAGAGTCAGCATGACCCTGGCTATTACACATGGAAAGATAATGATGGTACTGGCTACTGTACTTTTTGTGGGGCCATTTCCTGTGCACAGAATCCTTAATTATGTGAAGCTCAGGTGTCTGATTTCCTCGCCATTGGCAAGCACCACCAGCGTTTTCACAATACCAGTGCAAGCAGCACTGTAGGAGGCGTCAGAGTTGCCTGCTTACTGAAATGCATTTGCTTTTGGTGCAGCAGATCTCTTATTTAACGTTCATACTGAGAGTCATTTTTCGTATTGTCATCTGTTCCTTTCCCTTGGCAGGAATGTACCCCTGAGACTCCTCGCCTGGTAAAGTTGTGTCAAGATGTAAGCTTGGAAACATTTCAGGAAAGGAGTATGCCCAAGTCTTGCTATAATACCATTTTTGTGGCCCAGGCCATAAAATCTTACTAAAGGCAAGATTGTGCTAACTCACGGCCTTCTGGGGTGCACTGTATCTCAAATCCCAGGTTTCCCTCTGCAGCTCCTGTGGCGGTCCTACTCACTTTACACCATTGACACCACCATCGCCAGCGTGTGTGGCCTGTTGAGTAGCACGTGCCAGGCGCTGTACTCATGCCCTACCTGCATTTGCTTACCGAATTCTTACAACAGTCTTCAAAGTGTCATCCCATTTACTGACGAAGAGTCTGAGGAGAAGCAGTTTGCTTAGGGTCACACAGCTGGCGAGTGGCTAAGTTGGCATTTGGACTTAGCACTGTCACACTCCAAAGCCCAGATTCTTAATACTACCATTCTGTACTTTCTCAAGTCACTTAGAAAGCATGCACTTTGGAATAACTATTCTTTTTAAACCTTCTTCCTTAACAACTCAGCTGCCAAACTATCAGTAAGGAAAAGAACTTTCTTTCTGCTTACGTGCCATTAAAACAGGACAGAAAACCAATGATGTCAGTGTACCTAATAGCAGAGAAATAGTGCAGCCCTTTAGTTATTGCCCTTGGCCAGGGCTTAGCTAGGACATTGTTTCCCCACTTGCATTTTGAATTTACAAGGCTTTCACTTGAAACCTCAGTGTGGAAAAGAATTTCAGTCATCATTTGGGAAATAGGCAAGCAACTGCTTCTCTGTGTCCTAGCGTTGGAGGGACTCAGGTGTCCTTCGTCCCTCCCCTACTACAGGCCTTCATGCCCCGAGGACTCACAGACAAACGAGGACCTGAGGAATGTGATGCAGTTGCTCTTTTAAGTTTTATCAACTCCTGCGATCACTTCGTGGTTGACCGAAAGAAAGTCATAGAGGTAAGAGCCATCAGGTTCAAAATCATACACCGAGTTAGTTGGGTTGGTACTGGGAAGGCCAGGAATGAGACACCCTGTGACACGAAGCCAGCCCTGCCGGCATGATACAGTGGTCCTCAGGACAGCAGTGTGCCAAGTTAGGCTTAGGTCCAAAGTTGGCATCGTTTGCTCATGGGGCTCATGTCATGTGCACCTGCCGTGATGTCCAGGTGGCCAATGCAAATGCAATCAAGAGCTAACCACTTATTCTTCCTAAATAGAGTTTCCTGGCAACTTGTTACTGTGCTATTTACCTTTGTAATAATATGAAGCTTGGATTTCCCTTCCCTATTCAGCCAAAAATGGAAGCAAAGTAATATTCTGTATTTAAAACATATATATACATATATATATACGTGAGGCTGGGCATGTAACTCAGTGGTAGAACGCTTTCCTAGAATGCATGAGGCCCTGGGTTCCATCCCTGGTACCAGAAAAGACAAACAACACAGTGCATCATCCTGTCTATTGTATGCCTGGCAGAATCCTGCCCTTCCAAATCTCAGTGGCTAAATAGTTTTAAGACCAGATGATATAGAACTGAAGAAAATATGAATACTAATGGATAATATTGTCAGAATAGATCACTATGCTTGTAAAATATTCTGGGAGATTTAGATTTTTTGCTATGTCACCAACGAACAACTCTTTCACATTTATTACTCTCATGGTCATCAAAGCATCCTTGGATTATTTATAATATGTAGCGAAAATGCTGTATATTTGCCAGCGTGGCAGCAGCTGAAAAGATTAAATAATCCTTGATGACCTCACAAAGACCTATCATAGTGGTTGACCTCTTTGATATCTTTCAGCCAAGAATGTGGAAGACTATGTAAATTATATAATAGCCTATGATAGCACTTTTTTTCTTAAAATGTAGGCAAAAGTTGACTTTCTTTACACTGTGGTTTCCACATCAGAAAACTCACTTGACCCAACTTCCTGGCATGCCAAAAATTTTTGTATTGTCTGCTTCAGCCTGCGGGTGTACCCAGAGCCAATATGGGTGATCCTTGACAGGCTGTTTTCAGTTAAGAGATTTGGAAAAATGTGAAATAGCTTGCCATATGCAAGAGTTCAGGGGCTATGGATAGTTGCAGACTTATTTGTATTTCTTACTGTCTAGTCACTTTCTCATCGCTGGCACAAAATATCCAACTCAACACCCACAACTTAAAGGGGAGAGGTTTATTTGGGCTCACGGTTTTAGAAGTCTCCGTCCATAGTTGGCTGGCTCCAAGGCAGGAACGGCATGGCAGAGGGTACAACAGAGGAAAAAGTGCTTGCATCACAGTGGCCAGGAAGCAGAGAGGGAAGGGAGAAGTCAGAGGGAGATCCACCCTTCCAGGTCACGCCCCCAGTGACCCACCTCTAACCAGGCCCCGCCTCCTAACAGCATGCTCAGCTATTGAGCTGCTTAGTAGACAAATCCAGGGATGAATACAGGATAGCACTCCATGATCCAGTCACCTTCCAAAAGCTCTGCCTTGGACACAGAGTTTTGGAGGGGCATTCTAGATTTAAACCATAACACTCTAGTTAATGTACTATCACGTGGCAGAGGGTTGAACACCTCCCCCAGCCTTGGCCGTTCTTACAGGTACCTACAGGTCATATCAGGGACTCGTGGGTTGTTTGGAAACCTGCTCCAACAGCATAGGAAGCGGAAAAAGGCTGAACCACTCATCTTTGCCTGATTTTGATCTTTTTGTTCCAGGAGTCTTATGACCAAAATCTGGCTTACAGTCATGTTTTATTTGTCCTGCCTGGCTTTTTAAATTCTTTGAGCTGGGCGTGGTGGCACATGACTGTAACTCCAGCTACTCAGGAGGCTGAGGAACAGGATCACAAGTTTAAGGCCAGCCTAGGCAACTTAGCAAGACCCTGTGTGAAAGTAAAAAATAAAAAGGGCTGTCAGTGTAGTCAGTGGTAGAGTGCTTACCTAATGTGTGACGCCCTGGGTTCAATCTCCAACTCTGCAAAAAAAAAAACAACACACACACATTAAAAAAAAAATCTGAATTTCCAGTTTCCCTTGAAAAATTAGAAGGCCTGCCAGGTATGGTGGCGCACACCTGTTGTCCCAGCACACGGGGAGGGTGAGGCAGGAGGATTGACACGAGTTCGAGGCCAGCCTGGACTGCATAGAGAGACCCTGTCAAAAAAAATTAGAAGGGCTGGGGATTTAGCTCAGTGATTCCGGCGCCTGCCTCACAAGTGCAAGGTCCCAAGTTCGATCCCCGGTACCCCCCCCCCAAAAAAAATTAGAAGGCCTTATGACACTGAACTCATGTAGCTCCCATGGCAAAAGGCCACCCATTTATTAGAGGCCACTCCTTTAGCTAGGGTATCCACTCCAGTTTGTCCCAATGCCATCTCTCCTTATCTCTCCCTACTGTTGAACGGGGCCAGCTTCACTCAAGTTATCTGCCTGACCTTTGGAGGCATTTTAGATGTGACCCAAGGAGGACTTTACTTTTTGATTCATGCTCTCTGGACAGGATGAAATGAACTACAGATCAGACTTGGGCTGGAGGGCTGCACTGTCCTTTGTACTGACAGGAGCACATGCCGCACTATGCATGGCTATGCACCAAGGAAGGTCTGTTCCTCTTTATCTGGAGACCACACTTGTTGATTTTGTAATTGGCAAAGCCTTTCTGCAATTTTTCTGTGGAGCCCCAAGATCTCAGTTTACCCTGTTGACTTTGAAGCCTTTTATCTTTTTGTCTTTTCTCTAGGTGATTAAGTGCCGTAATGAGATCATGCACTCTTCAGAGATGAAAGTATCATCTACATGGCTTCAAGATTTTCAGGTGAAGATCCAAAATTTTCTGAATGAATTCAGGAATATCCCAGAGATTGTGGCAGTGTATTCCAGAATAGAACAGGTAAAAGTCCTATTTAACAGTTCTGACTTACAGAAGTAAGGGGTCACACACAACCACAGTCATTCATTTAGGATTTGACATTTATTAGATTTAAACTAAATTTTGTTTTATTTTTTGTGGTGCTGGGGATGGAACCCAGGGCTTTGTGCATGCTAGGCAAGCACTGTCCCACTGAGCTACATCCCTATCCCAGAACTAAATTCAAGAATGGAAGCAGGGGAAAGGATAAATCAGGCCAGTGGGCTGGGTGTGCAGGTCAGTCATAGGGTACTTGCTTGGCATGTGTGAAGCCTTGGATTCCATCCCTGGCAGCAGCCCCCAAAACAACAACAACAGCAACAAAAAGAACGAATAGATTAAGTAAATAAATCAGTTCATACATTCATGTGGTCACCCTACAGCTGTTGACATCTGACTGGACTGTTCACATCCCCGAGGAAGACTGGCCCGATGGGTGTGAAAATGAGGCAGGAAGTTACCTGAGTGTGAGCCAAGTAAACGAAATCGAACTGGAATTACTGAAGGAAAAACTTCAAGAGATGTACCTTCAAGCAGAAACACATGAGGTGTTGACCGAAGAGGTAAAGGAAAGGGTTACATCCTCTCTGAGGAAAGATAGACACCAGAGAAGGGGAACGGCTTGCGTTGACACATAGCCAGTTAGGTTTCTGATTTACAAGTCAAATAATTTCCAGAAGTTAGTATTCTTTTGGCACTGATCAATATTATATCTTAACAAATATTTTCATTTAATCAGCAAGCGTTTGAGGGCCTAACTGTGCCACAAAGTAGAATAGCAGGGTAAGGGCTATGCCAGGATATGGAACAAGAAGCTCAGGGGCTTCTATGCCTACCAGTCACAGACATTGCCCAAAAAGGCTTTGCAGAGGCCTATTGAGCTGGAACTCATGGATTCGGTAAGAGTTGGGCAAATTGGCAAAGGAAGGAGGATGTTCTTGGTTGAAGGAAGAGGACTTGGAAAGGCTCCAAAGACAAGACTGGGCTTGAGCTCTGGCCAGGTGAGCACAGGAGGTATGTGCAGGTAGGAGCATGGTAGGTTGAGTTGAAGCATTAGTTTGGAAGGTTTTCTGGGACATGCCAAGGAGTTTGGGCCTTCCCCGCAGCAGTGGGAGCCAGCAGATGTTTTTAAGCAAGAAAAAGCTGTAAGATCAGATGTGCCTTTTAGAAAGTGAACTCTGGGCCGGGGATTTAGCTCAGTGGTTCTGCCACCTGCCTCGCAAGCACAAGGACCTGAGTTCCATCCCCGGTACCAAAATAAATAAATAAAAAGTGAACTCTTACAGCACTTGAATCTTAGGCAAGTGGTGACAGACCAGCCAGAGGCCTTGGGTTGTGTGAGATACAAGAGAATGAGGACGGAAGCTAGAGGCTGTGCCGGAGGAGCTGGGTCTTGGGAACTTTGCACCACAGAGCTGATGGATCTTAGTGCCAGGTACATTACTTGGGACATAGCTTGAGTCTGGAAGAGTGGGAGAGGAGGGCTAAAGGGTCACCAGGGTTCTGAGCACCTGCAGGCTAGCAACACTCTCAAGTCATGAGAGGAAGCACAGGAGGCAGGCATCACCTTTGTTATGAGCAAGGTCTAAGAAGAAACTACCAGTCATAGAATTGTATTCTAGTAAGGTTCAGAGATATTTCAGCCTTGGCTGCATTTGAATTCAAGACCACCAGGAATCCATCCACCTTCCATTCCTCCTTGGTAAGGAAAATGGTTTTGCTGGTTATTTAACATGAAGTGTGTATTTCATTCATTAAGCTGGGCTCCTTCCTGGCACATATGTCTACATTACCATTTTCAGTTAGATCCGATGTTTTAGACAGCGTGGTGAGCTCTGTTAGCCCAAGGACTGGCTGCCTCTGGTGTTTGTGTGCGCCTGCTGTGTTTTTTTTGTTTTTTGTTTTTTGTTTTTACCAGTGATCAAACTCAGGACCATGCACTTGCACCCACAGCCGGGGGAACCACTGAACTAAATCCCTGGCCCCCTGCTGTGGTTTGTAAAGGATTGACTCAGAGTGTTAAGTCTTCTCTTTTCTAAAGCCTCTGGCTTTGTTTTAAAATGCCATTAGAACCAGCCCCAGTTTTCTTCCTGCTGCTTCTTCCAGAAGCAGGATAGAGTAAGAGAAGGTAGCCTGAGGCCCAGGCTCACTGCTGAGTCCTCAGTGGTTCCCTCTCCTCTTACGGGAGCCCTAGTTCTTTTCCTGTTCTTGTAACCAAGAGCAAAATGCATGAATAGCAACATGCTTAAGCCAGGTTTCTGATGGTAGAGAGCTGGAAGGGGACCTGGTGATTGTGTCACCATTTCCCCGGCTGGCCAGGTGAAGTGAGGGCCCTAAGGAGCCGGTGCTGGGGTGTGAGGCTGGCTAGAGGCCTCCCTTTCCAGTCCTGGTCCCTCGGCTTTGCACATACTGTGCCACAGGGCTGGCATCGCTGAGGCGGTGGCACCAGTAACTTTGTAATCCTCATTATCTCTGCGTTACGGAGAGGAAATAGGGGTTCACTGGCTTATCCTCTGGGTCATAAAGTCTCTAGGAAGAGTTGATAAATTCTCATTTTTCATGCTTTCTGCTCCGCAGACCATGGCATTTTTTACTTGTATTTCAGGTGATCAGAATGTAAGTTGGGATTGATTGACATGTTATCGCAAAGAAGTTGAAGGTCAGCCTTCCACGTGTGTGGAACTTGACCTTTTCTGAAAGTTCAGCGCTGTGTAGGTTATTCATGTTTGTTAGGGTTAGTCTGTAAAGGCAGGATTTGATAAGACCACATTTCAGCCAGTTGAAATTGCCATGAGTTATAAGACACATCAGTATTTCAGTTACTTCTAAGAAAGAAAACATGCTTATTGTAAGGTATTAGCAATGGCAAGATGCATTCTCATGTGAGGTGGTAGGATATGGAAAAAAATGTGCATCCAGGAATCAAGAAATATGGTGATTAGGGCTGGGGATTTAGCTCAGTGGCACTGCGCCTGCTTTGCAAGTGCAAGGTCATGAGTTTGATCCCCGGTACAAGAAAAAAAGAAATATGGTGATTATATTATGACCACGGGGTAAGTTGAGGACAATGCTTGACAGTGGTAACCAGGTGTGACAGTTCCTGCAGATGCACCATGAGGCATCAGGCCATGCCCAGAGCACTTGGCATCTCTGCTCTTTTCTGTTAGCTTGATGAACCTTAATGCTCTATGGTATAATTTTTTTTTTTTTGGTACCGGAGATTGAACTCGGGTCCTTGTGCTTGCGAGGCAGGCTGTGGAACCACTGAGCTAAATCCCCGGCCACTACTCTATGGTATTATTAAGAGGAGCACACATTTAAGTGCACTGTGCATGCACAGCCGAGATCATAAGATGCTTTCCTGGAGCCAAATGGGAGCAGTGGCTCTTTGGGCCCCTCCACACACTCTGGGAGTGTATCCCCACCTTGGGCCCACTTGCCCCAGAATTCATTCAGCTGCCGCCCAAGTGCCCTCCACATAGTCCCACTGGGCCTCAGAGCTCTGTTAGGAGGTGAGAGTTTAAAATTTCAGCTAGAAGCCAGGTGTGGTGTATGCCTACATTCCCAGCACTCGGGAGGCTGAGGCATGGGGCTCACGAGTTCGAGGCCAGCCTGAACTACATAGGGTGACCCTGTCTCAAAAAGCCAAAAATAAATAAAATAAATTAAATTTCAGCTAGAGAACACTGAGTGCAGCAAAGGGATTTGCGCAGACTGTAAAATCATTACCAATCTCTTAGACCCTGGGAAAGGATCCACCTTCCCAGAGGTTCATGGGGAAGCTTAGTGAGAAGGGGCAGTGACATCAGGGAAAGGACAGAAAATGACACATTAATTTGGTATATCCCAAAAATATTTATTGAGCACTCCTGGTCAGGCACAATTCTAGAATATCAGTATGTGTCAGCAAACTACACACACAGATCCTGTAGGAAGAGACAGATGTGAAAGAGTAAACATCACAAGTGAATGATGTGGGGCAGAAGACAAAGGAACTGGAGAGTAGAGTAAGGGGGGTCAGGAGCGGCAGAGTTGGGGACAAGTGTTTGTGGTGGTCAGGGTGGCCTCACCGAGGTGGTGAGACCTACTGATACCTTGGAGGAGGTGAGGATCAGTCCTGTGCATATCTGGAGAAAGAGCACTTAGGCAGAAGGAGCTGCAAGTTGAGCAGTCTGGCTGGAGTAGAGGGAGGGAAAAAAAATACTGCACTGAGTGAGATCAGAAGCCAAGGGAGAGGAAGTGGGTCATACTGGGCCTTGTGAGCCTCTAGAAGGACCCTGGTCTTCTTACGGTGATACGACCACAGGAGCCCGATGGTGTTGGGGATGCTCTGGGGTAGGTTGGGGTGCGGGGGAGGTGAAAGCAGGGAGACATGGTAGGCTACTGTGCAGATTACATAAGAGATGGTGGTGCAGGCCCAGGGGAAGGTGTAGAGGTGGCGAGGTGAGCGGATGTGTCGTGTAAACGAGGGGTCAGAGGAGAGGCCAGAGACGAGGCTGAGGCCAAGAGCTTTGGCTTAAGTGGCTGGAAGAGTGAAGTATTTGGCATCTTTTATCTAGAACAGTGGACCAGAATGTAGTGAACTGACTCTCAGTAAATTAAACTCATTCCTATTGGAAAGAATGTGGGGCAGGGGTGGGGAGTTGAATGGAAAAGAGAAGTGAAGCAGTTGGTGAAGGAGGAGCAGAGGTTTCTGCATAAAAGCCCAAGCAAACAAAAAGGAAATTATGTGGAATGGAGCAGAGCAGTTGTGAGGGTCTGTGGAGAGGGTCAGGGGTGACAGCACAGGGATCATAGCTCCTGTTACCAAGTGAGCCTAGGGGCTGGCAAGGAGGATGCTATGAGGGCCAAAAGTCCTGGAAGCGGCACCGGGCATGTCCGTAAGAGCTCTCCGCAGTGCTCCTGGTTATTGATACATGCCATGAATAATGTCATTGGTGTGGGCTTCCTTTCACATTTGCATGGTTTCCAAGTTATTATTCAAAGCCCAGGCATCTCACAAGAGCTCTAGGTCAGCTGGAAGCCCTGTAATTGACAGCTCCATCTGAAGAGTGAGACTCCAGTCTACCTTACTAACCAATCTGAGTTTCTGTCCTCCTCAGCACCTGCCTGCCTCTCCCTCCTTCCCCTGGTCATCCTGGCAAGGCCTCTCCAGCCTTCCCCCTCTCCTCTTCCCCTGGCAGCCAGCATCTGGCTGTTGAAGTCACTTACATCACAATAGCCCAGTGCGTGCTGCGCCTCTCCCATATACCTACTGCGTAGGAATCAACCATGACCCTTTCTAGAGTGTAAGAGCTAACAGTCCATGCAAGGACCCGAGTTCGATCCCTGGTACCAAAAAAAAAAGAGCTCACAGTCCATTAGGATAGGGTGCTGCACTGTTCTTCATTCAAGTTTAGATAATCTTGACTTAGCTTGGAGTTGGAGGTCTTCCATTGAAAAACATTCACCATACCCCAAAATTTGAGTCCCATCTGTTGTAAGCACTGTGACCAGAGAGGGTATTCTGGACTAAGCCTAGTGAAAACACTTGCATGGTATTACGCTGTGACTCCTTGTAGTAGCTTAAGTAGCTGTTGAGAGGTACATTCCTGAGGGGAGTTTAGAAACAGATACAACTTCTATACATGGCAGTTTTGGCAGAGACTATTAAAATAGAAAACTTGATCAGAATTAGAGCCACCTTCCACTTCTGAAAACAGATCCTACAACAAAGATGTCACTTATGCAAAATAACAAATGTACCAGGTTAATTATTAGAGCAGAAGGTTTGAAATATGTTAAAATATGAACCATCCATAATTGAAATGCTATTTAGCCATTAAAAAGCAGTGAGACTATTCTTGATAATTTCCTGTAGAAGAGATTAGTTGAGGAACAATGCATAGTATAATGCCACTTGTATTTTTTTAAAAATGTCCAAAGATGTGTTTACGTATAAATGCAGGAGATGTCTCAGGAAGAAGCACAAGAGATGGCTCATGATTTTCACTTCTGAGGGACAGGGTTTTCAAAAGGACTTAATTTTTACCTCGTTGATTTTCAATTTTTTGCCTGTAAATTTATTAGTATTAATTTTATAGGTATGTATATATATTTAACAGTAGTGAATGTACAAGCCCAAATTCAAAGTGAAAGGGCCTCATCTTATGTATGTACACACATGTGCGCACATGTATGTGTTAGTAAATATAAACTAAAGCCCTTTTATATAAATGCAGGAAGATTTAAAGCAAAAAGAATTTCAGAAGACAAGCAGCCCCCCCCATTGTATGGTCTCAGAGCCACTGTCCTGGGTCATGTTTGGTTTTAGTGGAAACTGCCTTATTTTAAAGGGCTGATTTTGTTTTTCAAACCTAAACCTATATCCGGACAGGTGCCTGTAGACAAGATTTCTGCCTCTTGGCGGACACATGAGCAGAACCCGGTCTTCTGCAGGCGGGGCGGGGGGGGGGGGGGCCGTGCTGGGCATGCTGATCCTGTGTTCTTCTACTGAGCTACCCTGCCCGCCCGGGAGCCAGCCTTGAAGCTAGTAAGTTTTTTTATTGGAATTAGAAATCTGCCAAAATTGTCCGAAACTGTACTTTGTATGATTTCCTCTTGCAGATCTCAAATCAACTAGAAATGGTGAAGGAATTTCTGAGAAACAATGAGGATCTTAGAAATGGCCTTACAGAAGATATTCAGAAGCTAGACAGCCTCTGTCTACATCATCAAAAACTGGATTCAGAGGATCCTGGGAGACAGTCACCTGAAAGGAAGGCCTGAGGTGAGTTTAGGCATGTCACATTACAGAGGGACAGCCTAGCCTTCCCCTCTGATGTCTGTTCTCTTCTGTGAAGCCGTAGTGAACATACAAGAGTCCGACCTGGGTTCCCTATGTCCTTGTTATTTCCAGAGGACACTGAACTTTGTGCGCATACTCTAATTAATGGTACTCACACCTGTTCCTTGGCCGGTTTGTTTAGCCACATACACCTGAAGTCACTGGTTTGGTCTTAGGTGAATCAACTTTATAACATAACCAAAAAGCATTTCTTGCCCCTCTGCCCCAAAACAACACCAGTGATGCTCAGCTCTTCCTGTGGCTGCTTTCCTTAAGGAAAACTGGTTAACATGAATAACCCTCTTCAGTGTTTTACTTTCTCCCCCTCCAATAAAGAAAATGAAAACCTTCTCTTTCCTCCTAGGTTGTGCTTCGACACAAATGAGGCATACTCTGTGATGGTCCACGTGGCTTCTGGCTCAGGCATCCTTTTCTATGCAGAGGAAAAAATTTCCAGCGTACTGTACTCAAACAACAAGTTCTTGTTGTCCTGGACTTGGCTCTGACTCTTTGGGGTAGTTTTTTCATATTCATAAACTTGGGGTTATATAATATATACCAACCAAAAAGTACTAGATACTCTTGTGCCATAACTTGCTACCACCCAGGGACTTTCTGCTGTTTGAAGGGTGAGAGCCTCTTTTGGCTTCCTCTGGCAAAGGGAGTCGGGCCTGTCCTGTGCCAAGGACTCACACGGAGCACTGTGCCCCTGGCAGATGTGTCCTGTCCCTGCTACCTGCTGCCAGAAACCCTCATACTTCAGGACTGCGATGTAAGTGTTGCACTAGAGACCCTTCTGTTTTGGAAGAAGGCAGGAGGGAAACATGCCTGGAAGACCATTTTCTAGCCATTTGAGCTTGCTACAAACAGAACTGCTATTAGCTGGCTTGAGCACCCTGAGGCGGAGGGCGGGGCTGGTCATTGGAAGGTCATCAGGGACCCCGGGGGTAAGGGTAATGGGGAGCTTGTTTACATGGTCCTCTTGTGAAGGTGAGTCCACGGCAGGCTCCAGGCTTGCTGTTCTCTCCAGTGTGGAGCACAAGGCCTGCCAGCAGATGCTCAATGAATATTTGTTTGACTGGAGAGTCATCTGTTAGCCTAGGAGTATTTATTTGTAAGTGTAAATGTTAGTTACACTGTTAACTAAGCCTGGTCCTTCGTTATGAAATTGAAGAATGAAACTTCTCAACATTCTTATGGAAACTCATTTTCTTTTAGCAGATTCACAAATTCCTTCATATTTCCTCTATTCCTTTTACCCCCAAAGTATTCCACTCCTGCCTTTGTCCTGTTTGTTCCTGAACAGCAATAAGCACTGTCCCATTGTGTGCAGGGTCTGTGGGGTTGCCTCACTGGCATCTTCCCTCCATCCAATGGTTGCCAAGGTCGGTGGTACTAGACTGGGTCAGGTCGCTTCTCCACCTTCAGGGACAGAACTGCCTCATTTCCACACTACCTGGATGAAGTGCTCCATGCAAAGCCTGAGGGAAGGTGGGTGCACTTCTTTGCCTGTTCATTGGCCTGCAAGGTTATCTTTAGAGAACGGGCTGGGGCGTATATATGGCACATATTTCTACATCAAAATGCACTTAATGTAATTCTGTAAATCCCAAATGAGCACAGATGTGCCCATTTTTTCCTGCTTCCCAGTTGCTGTTTGGTCTTTAGTCTTGTGCTTGTGTGTTGCTGGGGATTGAGCATGCTAGGCAAGCATGCTACCACTGAGCTATAACCTGGCCCTTGTGTTTTCTTTCTCCCTTTCTTTCATGGAGTTCCTTGAAAAGACTTCAGTCGCAAAGTAAGAATTTTCACACATTTAGCAAAGTCCCAAACTAAGAAACTTCAACGAAGTATCTCCTAGCTTCTAGATCTGAGATGCAAAATGTGGGCTCAAATAGAACCTTGATTCGCTAACCAACTGAAGACCTGATTTCTAACTCTAGGAACTTTGGGATATGAACCCTTCCATTTTATACCTGCGTTATTAGTTTTTCCTCTGCCCAATAAGCACTTCCCAGATGTCAACCATGTGCCAGACATTGAACTAGATGAGAATATAAAGACATGTAAGGGGTGGGTTCTGGATGCTGTTGGGTCCTTCTGCTCAGAGAAGCGCTTCCGGGTTGCCACTGGCTGCCACCTCCTGGGGCGATAAGGAAACAGGCCCAGAGAGGTTAAGTGACTTGGCCACAAACAGCTAGTAGGTGGTGGACCCAGGACTCAAACCCAGTCTAGGAGCCATGTCCACCTTGTTCCCTTCACTCTTCCCCCATGTGACTGAGACACTGGTTTAATCTGGATCGGCCTTGTGTGGAGGAGACAGAGCTGCAGCAGCAGGAACAGCATCAGGCCTGGCTCCAAAGCATCGCAGAGAAAGACAACCTGGTACCTATTGGCAAGCCAGCCTCAGAGCACTATGATGATGAGGAAGAGGAGGATGAAGATGACGAGAATAGTGAAGAGGACTCAAGATGATGAAGACATGCAGGACATGGATGAGATGAACGACTGTAATGAATCACCTGATGACAGAGAAGTTAATGAGGAGGTGGACATGGGAGGCAACGAACAGGATCAGGACCAGTGGATGATCTAGGTTGACAAGGCAGGGTGGCTATTCCAGGCCAGCCCAACGTACCCTGCATCCCCAGCCCCCAACCTCTCAGCCCACAGAACCAGCTGACAGCCGCAGTGCCTGAAAGCTCAGCCATGGGCACTTCCTCAGCTGTTGCCAGGACCTGATCTTGACCCCTCCCAGACCATCAGTCTGCCCTTAAATCCCTAGAGCCTGAGCCCATCCCACCTTCCTGGCCACCCCCTGGTTGACAGGTCTGGTATCTTTCTAACCCTTGTTAATAAAGACACAGGGGGAAAAAAAGACATGTAAGTTATGGATGATAATGTATGGGCTGTCATTTTATGGATGTACCTGCTCTGTTAAGTCAAAGGTATTGTTCAGAAAGCTTTATACTGGAAACATTTAATTACATTGAAACAGAAAGGAAGACATGGCCAGCTAGGGCTTTAAAGTAAATGCAGCGAATGCAGAGTCATCAACCTATGAGCATTTCTTTGACAGAATTGTGTGCATGGGCACAGGGGCACGCACCGCAGTATAGCCAACCAGCCATTAATAGAGGACCCCTTAAATAAAGTGTAGCAGGTCAGACTGCAGAATCTTATGAACCTATTAGAAAGAATGAAATGATACTGCAATACAGTAATGTGGAGTGATCTATAAAACATACTAAATAGAAAAGCAGGGCTGAAGGTGTAGCTTAGTGGTAGAGCACCTGCCTAGCATGTATGAGGCCCTGGGCTCCATCCCCAGCACCATGACCAAATCTAAATAGGTAGAAAAGCAAAATGTTTAACCATGCTTAACTAAGGTTCGAAAAGTCATGTGCTTTTCCCAAGCTTTTTTGCTGTTAGGTCTGTGAAAGCAGCTGAGGCCTTTTTTTTTCTTTTTTGGGGGGTACCGGGAATCGAACTCAGGGTCTTGGGCTTGCCAGACAGGTGCTGTGCTGAGCCACACCCCCCCCAGGCCATATTTTGTATTTTGTGTACTCCCACATGAATTTTTTTTTTTAACTACCAGGGATCAAACTCAGGACCTTGTGCTTGTGAGGTGGGCAGTGGAACCACTGAGCTAAATCCCCAGCCCCCCACATGAAATTTTTATAAATGTGCACTCATATATTTTGAAGTTTTTTAATTAAAATTATTTCAAAATAAAGAGACTTGAACAATGTAAATTCAAATTGCAAGACCTCACTGTATTTTCCATAATTTGTTGTCATCTCCGTTTTTGTATCTCTACCTCCAGGGTTCTGGTGAATCCTCAGGGTCATGGGAAGAAACCTACTAAGCATGGTCCTTCTGCCTAGGGTTCCTTTGGTTCAGTGTGCACTCAGCAATATGATCTGCTCTCAGCCTCTCCCTGGGACACAATACATACTTTACAGTTTTGAAAAAATTCAAGAAAAAGATGACTTTAGCATTATGGTTTTTTTGGTTTTTTTTTTGCAGTATCGGAGATCAAACTCAGGACCTTGTGCTTGCCATGCAGGTGCGGCACCACTGAGCTATATCCCCAGCCCCTTTAGCATTATGTTTGCAGAGATAAGACAGTCCTTGGCTTTCCCAGGGAGTTGGAGCAAGATGTGTCTGTCACATTAAACTCAGCATAAAACATCTGAATTCTGGGACGTGACTAAAGTGTGTTTGTGACTAAAACTTCTGGAAAACTAGCTCTGCTAACTCAAAATGTTACTGGCTTTATAAAGTCGTGGTAGAGATCTGTAGACAGTTTTCAGTCACCAAGGTCAGGATGGATTATGTTTGAGCATTTGGAGAGATTATGCAATGATGGTTACATGAATGATTTGAAAGGCTCATTTATATTAAAATATTACTCATATGACTTAAACAGTAATATGTAGGCAAAAAAGCCTGGATCTGTTAGTTGAGTGGATGTGTTTCGAAAGCAGTGTAGTAAAAGCAGCATTGCATTAGAGTGGAGATGTTGCCATCTTTTGAATATTTCTTCTGATCATTTTGACCTCTAAATTATAAATGTAGAATGATGGGAAATTATCAGCAGTTATTATCTTGTTTTCTCTTACCAGGTTAATTAGAAGAAACCTACCTGCTCTGAAATGTCTTCAACAGACAGTGGTCTTTTATTGAAATATATTCAAATTACAAAATACATTTTGTAAGACATGCCTAAAAACAGATGAATCTCTGCTCATGTAATACTCAGTGAAGTGAAAAAAATCCTTTAAAGTTTTAATAAAAATCTTGATACAATTCATTTCCTAACTTTAAGAACTGTTTTTTATTACTGCATTGTAGTCTGAATTATCTAAAATATCAAGAGCTACTATTCTCTTCCAGAAACCTCAAACCCACGTTCTGATATATGCACATTAGTGATGACCACACAACTGTAAACTGAGCGTTTTGTGACATCCCTTTGGGAAGGTGGGCAACGACCTTACATGCTTTATTACTTTATACTGAGTATCAGAAGGGCACGAAAATTCTTATTTCAGAACCATGTGTGGTAGCCGGCCTCCAAGGGGGGTCCCTAATGATCCTTGCCTCCAAGTATTTCCACCCTCATATTGCCCTCCCACATTGTGCCAGGGTGGGTCTGTGTGAACATGATGGTAAGTTACTATACGATTAAGCTACAAAAGACCAGGACTTCTCTCTTGGCCTCTTGGAACTTCATTCTGGTGGAAGCCATGTTGTGTCACAGAAGCCCTCATGCAAACAACTGTACAGATAAGTGAGCCTGGAAGTGGATCTTCCAAGCCGTCAAGTCTTCAGAGACTCCTTCCTGATCCTCAGAAATTGTGTGATATGAGTTGTTTCAAACTGTCAAATTGGATGATTGGTTACATAGCAACAGATAATACACTTCTGATGTGTTCCTCACCTCCCACCTCACCCCCAAGTGCTGAATGCGAAATGGAGACTGCCCACTAAGAGGACTAATGCTTAGATGCCACAGAACAAGGAATCTTCTGGAGTTCCACTAACATGGCTGTCTTAGCCAAGAGCTGATGTATACAGAACCATTCTGGTAGTTGTTCTAACTTCTTTGTAGTTGAAATCTTTATCAAAAGCAGAGTTAAGCACTTTTGAACATACACAGCGGTTTCCCCAGTAACCACTGTGGAACTTCCTCCACCCTCCAGAGGCAAAGGCATGGGGAAATTGGGGTCAAGTCCTAGAAGAAGCCTCTGCCCTGGAGATAGTGGCCTCATTCTACAAACCCCACCCTTCTCTTTCCCCCTATCTCATGTTCCTTGCTTTAAGAAGTCAATGGTGCCCACCGGATTCCCAGAGGAATACTCTGGGCTACTGGTGTTGACCACTGACCCTTGACCCTCAACTCTAGCTGGCATTCAATAGAGTGTTAGGGTTAACCAGCGTTACAAACTCATTCTCTTCATTTTTAAGGATGAGAAGAGGAAAGAACTATTTTGTCATTTTTATTTTCTATTTTCCTAGAACCCCGGTGGACAGCAACCATTCTGAGTTGTTTATGCCATCTCCATGGCAGATTTTATCATTGCTCTTGGTTACCATGACCAAGATTCTCTTAATGAGTATTTCTTAAAAGTGTAAAATTGATTTTGCTACATTAATTTTAACCTACCTGGAAACATTTCCCTCAATAGAAATAGGCCCCCATACACATATCCTTTGGTGTAGGGATTTGTGACTGCACCAAATTTTAGATTATATGTCATACTAAAAACCCTTACTTGTGAACACCAAAAAGAAACAAAAAACATGTTCTCCACAGAGCTTTTTTAAAAAGCTATGAGTTAGTGGATAATGTTTTCCATTCAGTCTTCCTCCCCTATCTGACCCTCGGTTCTCAGGTCCTGTGAAGAGGGAGACCAGCCAACCTACCCTCTCCCAGAAAACACTTTATTCCCAGTACAAGAAATAAGCAACCCTCAGCAGCCTCAGCTTGATGTCCTTTTCTTTATTAACCAAACTGCTAGTTTCACCGGGGTTCGCACTGTTTGGGAGTCAAAACCAAAGTTTCCATCGGTGTGTCTTCAGGAGGAATAGAGTTCAGTTAGTGCTTGCCCGCTGCAAAGAACGTTGCCCCCAGGCATTACGGAGCTTGTTTCTGCGAGGAGGAGGACGCAGGACTGGGGCTGGTGGTGGCCGGCGGGTCGCGGGTCCCGGTGGCAGGTGCAGCGCGGCTGCCATAGTGGTAGTGCAGGTAGCGGGTGACCTGCATACTCTGCGCCACCACGTTGGTGCAGTGGCACGCCATCAGCAGATAGTTTCGAGGCTGCAGGCGGTAGGCGAAGCGCATGATAACCAGGGAGTAGAAGAAGAGCGCTGTTGTCACACGGCCACTGATGATATCAGGCGGCGACTTCATGTCGTTGAAGGCAGCCAGTGGAAGGCCCCAGTTGGCCACAGGACCCCAGAAGTGCGTGCTGGTCAGGTAGTCCCGGAACTCTTTGGTCTTCACGTAGGCTCTCGCCCTCCGAAGTAGCGCTCCCAAGCCTGCCATGACCACCCAGTGGGAGGGGGCCCAATGGTCGCACTGCCAGCCCACAATGCCTCGAGCACGGAGGCCAAACGTGCAGCAGGCGCTGCGGCCTCGCACCTGGCATGTGCCTGCCGTAAAGTGCTTCAGACTGCGCACGTGCCTCTGTCGTGTGTTCCAGTCGCGATGGGAGGGCGTGGCTTCACCCTCTTAGAGTCCCCAGAGCATGCTGGCGTGCCTGTGTGTTCACTCCTTTGTCAGAGGTGGAACCAGAAACTTCTACTTCCCTCCCTATGGTGCTGTGGCCACTTTAAAGCACTCAGGACTCCACCTGCCACCGAGGGAGGCAAGCTGGCTACCTGCTGTGTTCACTATGCAGAAGAAACTGCTCGCTTTGTCCAGTCCAACTAGATGTTGACATAAACTTCCTCAACCAGGTACAGACTTTGGTCCTTCCACAATTACCTGAATGTTACTTGAAGGCACAGTGACACTTCACCTCTAAATGTTACCACGTCTCTTAAGAACAAGGACTTTTGCCTGTTTAACCACAATCCACACAGATAAGTAACATTTAGTATGGCACTATTATCTACTATGCAGTGCATATTTGGATTTTATAGTTTTATGGCTGTTTTTCTTATTGCAGAGAGGAGATTCAAGATCCAGTCACAATCCACATTTTGTTAATTTCTTGGGTTAATCTTTTTTTTAATTTTTTTTTTTTGACACCAGGGATCGAACTCGGGTCCTTGCACTTACAGGGCAGGCGGCAGAACCACTGAGCTAAATCCCTGGCCCGGGTTAATCTCCTTTAATCTAGACGAGTTCCCCAGCTGTTTATGGCTATTATGATACTGAGATTTTTGAAGAGTCCAAATCAGTGATTTTTCAGAATGCCCTTAATTTGGATTTGTCTGCTTTCTCATAATCAGATTTAGGTTAAATTTTGTGTGTGTGTGTGTGTGTGTGTGTGTGTGTGTGTGTGTGTGGCAAAATAACTACACAGATGATCTTTAGTGCAGCACATTGGGAAGCCCCCAATGTCACTGTGTATGTCATCCGCAGTAAGTTTGATCCTTGGCTACAGCATTGTCGGACAGGTTTCTTCATTGTGGTAAAGGTACCTTACCCCTCGGTAATCAACAGATAATCAGAGGGAGGTGGACGCTTTGACAGTGGGTATTCTATTCTCCAGCAGTCTTTCACCTGATCTATCTGTTGAGGAAAATTCTTCAATGAAAAAATTAGTGATTATTTTCCCAATGTTTTCTACTTTTTCCAATAAAAATAGCAATTAAAAAATAATTGAACATGCTTTGAAATATTAATACTTTAGTGATTTACAAACAAGTTCATTGTAGCTTTAAAATTAATGTTTATTATCTATGTTCATTTATATCCCAAATATTTTACAGATAGCACTTTAAAATATAGCCATTGCTCAAAAGGAAAGCAGCATAATTTTTAGATAACCCTTTTTTTTTTTTGGTACCAGAGATTGAACTTGGGACCTTGCACTTGCAAGGCAGGCACTGGAACCACTGAGCTAAATCCCTGGCCTTAGATAACCCTTTGTAAGTGCTGGATTTCCTGATATGATGATGGCTATACTGGTGCAAATCAGTTCAGTATAAGTTTTGATAAATCAGCAAGGATGTATTGAATGACCTTTTAGGCCTACACTGCTACATATTTCACCATCCTAAAAGAAGTGTAAGCTATTCCTCCTTGTAGAAGAGGCTTTCAGTACTTGTAGATCATATATAGGTCATTACTTGTTTTGGTTTTTTTTGGTTCCTTCCAGGCATAAATGTTTATTGAAAATTTTATAGTAAACAAATAATACTTATAAGTGAAGATTTCCCCTTATTTCCAAATAAGATAATGTTGAATAGACCTTATAGTGAATGAATATATCTGATCACATTTAAAAATATATATATACTCTGACAGAGTTACACACTCTTCTTTTCAAAATGTCTTCCCTAGCACATTCCTGTTTTTGACACTGATCGAGATAATTTGGCCACTGAGGCAGCAACATCCAGAAAGACACCTGAAAAGGCAGCCACACCCTCCTCTCCATCTCCTCAAACTTTTTCTTTTTGAGACAGGGTCTCACTGTGTATCCCATATTGGCCTTGAACTTCTGGTGATCCTCCTGCCTCAGCCTCTGGAGTGTTCGCCACCACACCTGGCTATTTGTGTGTGTGTGTGTGTGTGTGTGTGTGTGTGTGTGTTTTTCTTAGAGGTTTTAACATCAAAATATGGTCTTGTTAGGTTTTTGTTTTGTTTTGTTTTGGTACCGGGAATCAAACTCGGGACGTTGCACTTTTGAGGCAGGTGGCGGAACCACTGAGCTAAATCCCCGGCCCCTAATCTTGTTAGGTCTTAAATGACCCTTTTACCAAAGCCAGGCAGCTTTATGCTGTGAAAACATCAGTTTTTTGGCAAAGGTTAAATTATCCATCCTGGCCTGTCCCCAGCTGTCAGACCTTCTTAGAGATCAGTCTTCTCCTCGAAGCAACACCTACAGGCGGCTCGCTGGTGTCCAGGTACAGCTTGCAGCCCAGATGGATGATGCTGTCGAACAGGAGCTCCACCACTGTCTCACAGGCCTGCACGTTCTGAGCCAAGCCCAGGGTCTTATGCACGCCCTGACAGATCTTGGAGAGGCAGTAGTGGAACTCGTCATAGTCATTCTTGCTCTTGCCACAAGTCTCGTAGCACCGATCATGCTGGTTGCAGCACTTGGTCAGGGAAGGGATCCCAACATTAAGGTAAACGCTGAACAGCAGAGAGCCGCACCCATTCGGCAGAGAAGGTTTGTACCCATAGTGTGGAAAAGGCTTCGATCCGTCGCTGCACCAGTACTGGCACGGCCCATCCTCGCCTCACAGCAGGAGCAGCGCGGCATTCAGGTATGTGTCGATCTTGTCCACCCCGTTCCGGATGGTCTTCAGCATGGTCCTCTAGACAGTGGTCGCAGACCTCACTGGCTAGGAGCGGCAGCAGCAGCAGCGTGAGTGCGGGAGACTGGAGCCGGGCCATGCCTGCACCCAGTTTGAGCCCCGGCACCCGGAGGCTGGCTCTGCACCTTTCCCTACTTGGTTTTGATTACCTATGGCTGTGTAACAAATCACCCCAAAACTTTGTGGCGTAGAACAACAATCCGCGATTTTACTCAGAAATTTGCAAGTTGGGCAGAACTTAGTGGGGCCACCTCGTCTGCTCCGTGTATCACCAGCAGGGTTGCTCAGCTTGGGACTGGAAGATCCATTTTCAAAATGCTCCCTTGTATGGCTGGCTGGTTGATGCTGGTTGTTGGTGGGGAGTTTTGACCCACATGGGCCACTCCACAGGCTGCACGGGCTTCCTCACAGCATAGTGGGTGAGCTTCAAGATCAAACATACAAAAGAACCAAGCAGAAACTGTGTGGTCAGTAGAATTCTAAGATGACCCCAGTGGTTTAGTTACTTTCTCTTTGCTGGGACAAAATATCTAACACCCACAAGATAAAGGAGAAAAGTTTATTTTAGCTCACAGTTTGTAGAGGTTTCAGCCCATAGTCAGGCTGGGTCCAAGGCAGGGTAACATGGTAGAGGAGAAACAGTCCATGGCGTGGCAGGCAGGAAGCAGAGCAACTTCCTTCTACTTTCCCTGTTTATTTCATCCAGGCTACAAGCCTATGGGTTGGTGCCATCCACACCCAGGGTGGGTCTTTCCTCTTCAGTAAATCCACCATCCACACCCAGAACTATGCTAAACTAATCAGCAGACTAATCTAGTATCACAAGCCCATGATCCCATTACTCCCAAAAGCCCCACCTATGAGCTCATGAGACTTTGGGAACACATCTAGAGATAAACCGTAATACCCTTGAGTATAATCTTCCCTTGAGTGTGAGTGGAATCTATGGCCATCATGACAAAAGGTACTTTACAGGTGTAATTGAGGTCTCAAATTGGCTGACCTTACTATAGGGAGATCATTCACATGGACCTGACCTACTTACACAAGCCATTTAAATCTGAGTCTAGAGGTCAGAGACAGAGGAAGTCGGAGATTGGAAGCATGAGATGGATTTGACATGAGAGATATTCTTCACAGCTGGTTTGGAAGGTGGAGGTAGCCACATGATAAGGAATGCAGGCTGCCCCCATCTGACAGCCAATGAGGAAACAGTGACCTCAGTTTTAAAACCATAAAGAACTGACGGGGATTTACCTCAGTGGTGCCATGCCTGGCTCACAAGCACAAGGTCCTGAGTTCAATCCCCAGTACTACAAAACAACAAAAACAAAAACCAAAAAATCCCCAAAACATAAAGAACTGAATTCTGCTAATAACATGAATGAACTTGGAAGTAGCTTTTCCCGAGTCTCCAAGAAGTCAATCTGGTTAACACCTTCATTTCAGCCTTGTGAGACTCTGAGAACTCAACCATACTGTGCCCAGAATTCTGACCTATAGAATAATGGACCAACAAATGGTCCATTGATTTAAGCCACAAGGTTTGTGATAATTCTTTGTCCAGCAAAGGAAACTAATATATGCTATTTTGTAGTTTTTGTGGTGCTGGGGATAGAACCCAGGAGCTTGTACATGCTAGGCAAGGGCTTTACCACTGAGCTATACCCCCAGCCTTTACCACTGAGCTAAATCCCCGGCCCTACATGTCTGTTTTTATGCTAGTACTATGCTGTTTTTGTTACTATAGCTTTGTAGTATAACTTGAAATTGGGATTGTGATGCCTCCTGCTTTGCTTTTTTTTGCTCAAGATTGCTTGCCTATGCCAGTCTCGAAAGCATAAGGTCCTGAGTTCAATTTCTGCTACAAAAAAAAAGATTGCTTGGCTATTCTAGGTCTCTTCTGGTTCTATATGAATTTTAAGATTGTTTTTTCTAGGGCCGGGAATTTAGCTCAGTGGTTCCGTCGCCTGCCTCGAAAGCACAAGGTCCTGAGTTCATCCCCAGTACCAAAAAAAAAAAAGATTGTTTTTTCTAGTTTTGTGAAGAATGTTGTTGGTATTTATGTAGGTATTGAAATAGACCTGTATATCACTTTTGTTAATATTGGCCTCAGGCTCCTAAGTAGCTGGGATTACAGGTGTGAGCCACCACACTGGGCTAAGCTATATAGGTTTTT